TTGCACAGCTCTTGAAATCTAAGCTTTGTGAGATATTGCCGGGCACCAAGGTCGGCATTCATTAAGGCTGTTTGAGGTACGGTCGGGACCGTTCAGCTAGAAGCCTGCAGATCTGGCCTTAATGGATCTGAACTTCGGAGCCTGTATGATCAGGCACCCGTGCACATTCAGTTAGCTTCATGGCGCACCTTCACCAAGGATGATTTTTCACCAGGTCTGTAACGGTGTAGGTTTAATGCTACCATGGGAACGGGGCGAACCATCCCCATCCACAAAATGCTTTGAGGCGGCAGGATCTGGCGACCATGATTCGTCATTCGAGCAAACTTTGGCGCTGATTATTCCGAAACTCGTCCCAAACTCGCCCCTCCAGCTTCGACTTCCAATGCACAATTGGTCCCCCCGGACAAGTCGTCGATCCTCATCCGATTATGTGATGGAGATGTTCGATTGTTTCGAGAATTTCTCGAACATGCACAAATGACATGCCTCAGAATACTCGGGGAGCAAAGTGGCGGATTTGTGCGGGGGTGCTCACACATGTTCAGATGTGCCTCAAAGCTACAGACCCAAAAGAAAGTAACAGGTTCCAATGGCCCTTATCTACGGGGTGTAAGTAAGAAGCAGCAGGCAAAGCACTGCGCCCCTGCGGCAACACCGGCCCCTCTGTAGTGGAGTGTCTGTGCACACTGACAACGATGTCTTCTAGAGTCGCATAGCAGGTTCGTAGATATTGTCAGAGCAGAAGCAGTCATCTGGCGATGTCAGATTCTCCTGCTGTCGATCTGCGAGGTTTGATACGAGGCCTTCTGACACGTGACCCGAAACAGCAGTTGCGTGCTGGTCTCGAAGACTGGTGTTGGACAGGAGAGTGCACCGAAGTTGCAAGACATTGATTGTGGAATCAATCGATCAGTGCAACGAGTTGCCTGGTCCCGGCAGGAGAAAGAGAGATCCGCAGGTTCGCAAGCAGTGGAAGACGGTTTGCCCATTGTGCCCATTGTGGAAACGGAGGAGGCATTTACCCGACATGCCATCATGCGGATGTCAAAGCACGCGTGGGCCCCGAAAAGACTCTTTGGCACTTTGGACAGCAGATAAACAACAGCTAGGTTGCTACGCATGCCGCATGCAGCACATGCAGGTACGCTGCGCAGTGTCCGAAGACGCCTGAGAGGATTGGGAAGCAGAGATACATCTCGCAAGCGGTACACTTCGTCTTTGCTGATGAGTGTTCAAAACATTCACCCGTGATGCTCAGGATCCTGCACCAGGTTAGGGTGCAGACTTCCGAGATTCCTTTGTCTGCCACCCGTGCAGATTTTCGCAACAGCAAGATTGCAGTCATTTTGGGCTCTACCGAAGAAGAGTCGAAAGTGCGAGCTGTTGCAAAATCGCACAGCTGGTTCATACAAATCGAAGCAGATTATTTCATCGATGGAAGCAGTCTCACTGAATTGACAGAGGCACAGAGTCGTGCTCGGCATTCAATTGCTGGTCCCGATCTGTCAAAAGTCTCTCGAGCCGCGGGCGGCTTACAAGCTCTCACGGTCCTGTCGGCATGTTCAGTTTGCGAATGTTATGGTGGTTTGTATTCTTGTGGTCGGTACAGCTGCGGAGCCCGAAATCTCTTGGGGTCCGGCATGCAATCGACAAGCGGCCATGATGCCGCATACCTGCTTCTATCTCGTGGCTTGGCGGCACTCCTGTTTGGCCTTTGCATGTTGTGCCTCATTTAGTGTTGCTTTGCCTGGTTCATGCAGAGTTGATGCCAGGGTTTGGCCGGACTTTGGCTAGCTTCAGGAGTCGGTTGGCGCCCCAAGCAGAGAAAAGACACCATGAAGGCAGCACCGTCGTAGCGTTGTGCTGAGGTGAGACGTCCCAGGCAGGGCACCGTTTCGGGATGTTACTCTCCTGATGTTGTGCTCATTGGACGGGTTTTCTGGCAGGAGTGCGACGATAATGTTGAACTCTTGCAGCGCAAGCTGTCGCTGGAGTCGCGCAAGCCCCACGTGCTTTTCTTTATCGCGGACTGCATGGGCTGGGCAGGTCTCGGAGCCCATCGAACTGCAAGAAATGCAGCAGAGGCTCAGGGAAAAGCTGAGACACAGACCTCTGTCTTGGACGGCCTCATCCGAGACGGGGTGCTTTTAGAGAGGCACTACACCACCTCATCGTCCGGGCCGTCCCGGTATTCCCTGATTAGTGGTCGTTTGCCACATAGTTTGCCGCAACTATCAGAGAACAATCTTTCGAGCCCTGGACAACTGTGGAATCCAGAAGACAATGTCTCCGGATTCGTCGGAATTCCTAGAAACATGACAGGCATTGGCAGTAAGCTAAAGCAAGGGGGCTACGCCACCCATTACGTTGGGAAATGGGCCGCAGGCCACGCCTCTCCCGAACATACGCCCTTTGGCAGGGGCTTTGATTCGTTTCTTGGATATTTGGGTGCTGGGAATGGCTACTGGTCGAAAGTACAAGACCCTCTAGCCGCTGGTCCCGGCATATGTCGGAAGAAGTTTCAGGATTTTTCTCTGTATAATGCCACGCACCGCGGCGCCGTGGATGGGATGATTGCTGCAGAACTCGGCTGCAGAAGGAACGTGACAGGCAGTTCGTTCACGAAATTTGGCTGCGACGAAGAGGATCTCAATGATTGCTTACCGGACAGCTGTCACGAAGAGTCCATGCTTCTTGAGTATGCTATGAGACTCATCAAGAGCCACGACTCTTCAAAGCCATTGTTCCTGACTTACTCGTCGCACCTGGTGCACCGCCCTTACGAATTCACTGCTTCGGACTCAAAGTTGGAAACCAGAGTTCAGAAGTCTTTTGAGGAATCTAAGATTGCTGGGAAGCTTCCGTGGACCACAGCCCGCAAGGACATGGCTGTCAGCCTGGCCTCTATGGACTTTGTCATGGGAAGGCTTGTCGAGACCTTAAAAGACCGCGGCATGTTTGAAGATACGTTGGTTATTTTCATATCCGACAACGGTGGTGCAACCGACTTGGGATCGGGTGCCAATAACTATCCGTTGAAATCCGGCAAGTTTACAGCGTGGGAAGGCGGAGTGCGCACCAACGCTTTCATCTCTGGAGGTTTCATCCCGGCCCCAAATCGTGGAAGCAGTTTCGACGGGGTCATCCACATTGCAGACTGGTACGCAACTTTGTGCAATTTGGCTGGCGTCAGCCATGTCGATGATGTTTCGGCCAAGGCCAATGAGCAGCTTCGTCTCGAGGGTAGACCACTACTAGCTGAGGTGGAGGGACGGCCGCAGTTGCAGAACATTTTTTCAGGAGTCAATGGCCGCCCCGACACACTGCATTTGAGCCCGACCACTGTACTTAAGTGGCCTTACAAACTACTCACTGGGAGGCAGTCCAACAGCTTCTGGCTGGGTCCGGTGTTCCCGAACTGCAGCAGCAGCAACATGCCGGCGGACACGTCGACCGAGGACTGCGGCAACGGTTGCCTCTTCAACGTCGAAGTCGACCCAGGCGAGCATTGGGACCTGTCTGCAAAGGAAGACCACGTTGCTGTGCTGTCAAGCTTGCAAGAAGAGCTGAAGCTGATGAACTCCAAGACCTTCAGGGCAGACTTTGGCCACGAACAGGTGCAAGCTTGTGTGCAGTCGTTCCAGCTGGGCGGCTGCATCGGGCCTTTCGTAGATGCAGATGACTTCTACACAACTCAGCAAGTCCCTGCAACAGAGGAGGTGGAGACGTATAGACAGGAGCCACCCGAAACAACAGCACATTAGTTTTGGGGTCCAGGGTAAGTCCTACTTGTAAGCCCTAACGCCCGAGCAGGAGCTGATGAACGAGTTCATAGAGCCACCTTTGAAGTTGAAGCCACCTGGTGATCTTGGCTGCTTTTACTCGTGAGCTTTATGCCTTAGCGATGGCTACACCTGCCTGTATGCACAATCTTACATACATGCAGTTTGACGTAGTGTGCCTCCTGATTGGCGGTGCTTGCTTCGCTGATCGAAAAGATGCTCAGTTGCAACCGGAGCAATTTCTTGCGGGGCGGGCGGCTTGCAAACTGTCACGGTCCTGTGCGAGGAAGGTAGTTTCGTCGGGTATCAGGCTGCTGCATGTCGAGTTTGTGAATGTTACGGTCGTTTGAATTCGTGTGATTTTGGAGCTCCGGCCTGGATTCATTCAAGCAGGGTGTTGCTGAGTTGAGCGCCCAACCCTTCTTCACATGTTCCATTGGTCCGGCCAGATTGAAGACGCTAACATACACAACCAACTTCAACTCGAGGCCTGTTTGAAGGAGGTCCTCGTGAAAAAAGGACCTCAACGCCGGAGACGAGCCGTTTCCGTGCCGGGCGAGGCCTCCGCTTTCCAGTCGCCCCTGCAAGGACTGCCGAGGGTGCCGCGAGGGTTTAAGTAAATTGAAGTGCTCAGCTCGTTTAGGGTTTAGGATTTAGGTGTTGCGCGAGGCACAGCAAGAGTTCCCTCGCCGGTTGGGCGTTTCAGGTCGATGTGAATCCTTCGGCCTCGGAGTGCGCATGGAGGCACGGAGACTGGGGCCTTGTGTCGGCTGCATTAGGTTTTTTCTCCCACCCGCGCCGCTCGGGCGGCTCCCGCCGTTAACCAGCTCCGCCTTTTAGGGTTTAGTTTTCTAAACTGTTTTCTTTTTTCGCAAAGTCCGAGACACACGTTCTGCGCAATGTACGCGGCTGTGTAATAAGCGGTTTCTGCAGCAATGCCCGCCTGTGAAGGTTTAGTTTTGCGACGATGAGTAAAATATGCAGCTTAGAGTCCGCCACACAACATTTCTGCTAGCAGAGTCATAGTTGAATCCTAAATTTCGCATGCTACGACAACCTGGAAAACCTGGTTGCTGGGTTTCGTTGGCAACTAAACTTCGCTCGCAACTTCTTTAAAGTTGCCTAGTTTGGTTTTGGCTGCTTGCAGCTCAAACTGCTAAAGTTGCACAAAGCTCTGTCTTGAGACCATTCTTTTCACTCCAGCGATGCACGACATCACCAGTTTCTCTGTACGCACAGCATGTGCTGCAGCAGCGTCGCTTCGCAAAACTTCTGTTGCGACACGGAGCGGCCCAATGTCGAGATTTTGTTGATGAAATCTTCGCACATCTGACGTGAATCGCAGAGCGGGTTGAGGATTGGACCTTTCTGCTTCAGTTGCTCCTCCAGCGTCAGCACGATATGCTTGAAGAGGTGGTGCTTCGGAATCAAAAGATATCTCGTCATGGCACGGGCATAGGCCATGCTTGCCAGCCGCTTGTATGTATAAACAAACATGTTGCCATGCTTCACCACGTTCCTGGCAGCAGCACTCGGAAGCCACAGCTCGTTATGATATAAAATGGACAAGAACTTGTTCCCAGCTTGGCAGCACTGGAGCAGGCACTTGAGGTAGTCATCGGAGTCTGGCCCCAGGTGCGCTTGCAGGAACGAAGCTAGGAATTTCAGCACCACTGTCGTGTCGGCGCCCTTGAACCATGTCCTCGAGATCCATGCACGAATATGAGGTTCATGACATGCTAGAAAACCATGCATGCACCATGACATATTTTAAATTCATGCATGGAAACACATGAGAAATAGGAACATGCAGGAGCTGAACTGTTGACCATGTTCTAGCCATGCACCAAGATACCCAGAGGGATAGGTATCGTTCTCTGGAAAACGCACCAGTGTGCGGGTGAGGCCGCTCATGTGCAGTGTCAGCTTCTCCGACTTCGCGAAGCTCTTGAGGTCCTCATACACCAGTCCCAGCCGATCTTCAAAGGACCCACGAGCTGGGTAAAGCCGCATGTCCAAGAGGGTCACCTTGCTGAGAAGCTTTCATGATGCATATGCGAACATGCAGAGGCGATTATATACTGCATGCATGCAAGCATAAGACATACAAAGGATTTGCTTGGTTTGCTGTTAAGGACATGCAGACATGAGGCTCAAGGCTTAAGGGTTGTATGAGGCAAAGCGCTAAGCAAAGATACAAACCCCAAAATACAAACCCAGATGCGAGGCCAGACCCTGCCAGCTCTGCCATCACTCCCTTGTGGCAGATATGAAAGAGATCCAGGCGATAAAACGCCGCTTGCTGCCACTCATCCACACCAGGGCACAGCTGAGAAACCAATGCAGGCACAACATCCCAGGGGGCTGTGAAAGCCTCGCTGTGCTGCATGGTCTCCTTCCAGCCATCGCCACTGTAGTCTGGGCAAGCGGCTGTATTCGCCATGCAAAGGTGGCAGATACCCTTCCCATGTGGCGTGGCATCGCAATAGAAAGATCTCTTGATCTGGCCGAGTTTGACTAATGCCGGCCAATCGCACTTGATTCCAACTGGAATCAAGTGGACCCGGATAGTCTCTGGCCCGTGCTGTACGACCACACCCTGCATGGCCTCTGCATGGTCCGACGCCCAGCAATCAACAAGCGACATCAAGTATTTATTGCCGGACTTCTTGGATCCATAGGTCTTCTTGTGCATGCTGCATAATGGTGTACAGCATCCGAGTCTTGTATGTGGAGCCATCGAAGTTGAGCTTGTGGCCATGATGCGATTCAGGGTCATCTGTGCAATGTGTCATGCACCCAAAGCCCAACATAGGCTCCCAGCCCAGCACCATAGCTGCTTGCTTCTTCAAGGCCCGGCCTTCATCTCCGAAGAGCAGGATCGGGACACTGCAGGCGCAGGCCTCAACCCCGTGTGCCAGTGCCGGGTGATCTGGTCTCAAATATTGAAATCGCTCCCAAAAGGCTCGGAATGTGCTTTTCAGAGGCTCACCACCAGTCAGGTTCTCCAGCTTGTTGTTGGCTGCAAGCTCTCGCACATAGTCCACAGGGGAGATAACTTGATGATCCCGATCACCACAGAGTTTCTTTGTAGTAAGTGGCATAGATGCAGATAAAGCAGAATTGCGTAGAAGATCACGACATGCACTTGCATGACCCGTCTCATGAGCTCTGGCAAGTTTCTCAATAAGACGACCATATTCAAGTTTCGATACAGCATTTTTTCCGAATGCTGCCCGAACCTCCTTAGCAAAAGCTGCCACGAGGCTCGTCGCGACCTCTTGACTCACCTGAGCATGAGCTTTATGCGCACATGGCAAGTAACATGATATTTCATGCCATGATCATGTCTCTCATGTTCATGTAGCAGGACATGCACATCATGTTTCATGTGCACCCGTTCATGCACGCATATATGCAGCCATGCAGTCGAAATTTTCATCCGAATACAACAATTGACACAAAGAAAAGTCGATCGACGCATAGCGTCCAAGCGACACCCTTTGTCACGGACAGAGCAACTGCCTCGCCCACTGGCCCAGGTGCAGCTTCTTCTGCGGCGCCTTGCCCAGTACCTGCAGAGCATGAAGGCGTGGGGCATCGGTGAGAATAACACGCATGGCAAAGACTGCACATGGAGGGCACATCGATTTTCGACCAGCACAAGGTAGCATCACGTATCCCGTGAAAGATTGGCAAGTTTGCATGAAGCTGGCCCTATGTCCACTGCTTGCACACTAGTGAAGGTCTCCCTATGTTACATCACACACCATCGTATTGCTCATGACGGGATAGTCCATCATATAGCTTTGCCACGGACTGGCCAGTATCATGCACACCTGCATGGCTTGAAAGTAGGATCAAGCACTGCATCTAAAGGCCCTTATGTTCCCCAGGCCCAGCAGTGACACGCCCACCATCACAACCATAACATGATGCCTCACTTGCGTGCCTCTTTTGCCGCGACCTTTGGCCGCCGCCTTTGCTTTGGCCTTCTTTTTGGGCTTGGGCTGCTCCTCCTCCTTGGGGGGCGGGCCCACAAGGGCCTTCTTCTTGAGGATGGTCCTCGGCCACATGGCTCATGTACTACATGACATGTTGGGGTTCATTACTTTGTGCAGTTTGTTGACGTGACTTAATCATGGAGTCATGACATTGCAAACATGGGTAGGTAGCCTACATGCATGTGATGAACATGCTGTGTCACTACAAAAATTGCAACCCAGACACAGAACCCAGTAAACACGTGCGTGGTGGGAATGCAAGCTCTACACATGCATGCAGTGAGCCACACATGGTAGGGTTCACTATTACTGAACGGTTGGAGTACGAGAGGAGGTTAAGCTATACACCCATGTAAGGTTAATGATATATATATATATATATATATATATATATATTTTTATAATATATATATATATATATACATATACATGTATATATTGTTTCAAGCCAATCATTCATCCCAGAAGCTTCTTCAGCTTCTCCCGCTCCATCTCACAGCGGCTGCACCTCGTAGCCACGGCAGGGCGCCCCGGGCAACTGTCAACATACAAGCCTAACTTAGAAGTCTCATAATAGCCCCTGGGCCCCCAACACACTCTCCACTTTGCGGAGATGGCTTTCCAGATCGCGCTGCTTCCTTAGCGATGCAGAGGCAATTGTTTATACATGTAGAACACGGACCATGTCTGTGGCATGCGCTAACTCATGTCTGAGTGCACACCATGGCTCTCGGGGGACAGCTTCTTGTGTGCATCGAAGTCTGCCTTGAGATCGGCGATTTTATCATGTAGCTCGGTGAGCTCCTCGCTCTTCTTTGCAATCTTGTCGGACTCCCTTGCAGGTTTGGAAAGATCAGAGCACATATATTATGCAATGAGCACATGCTTGTGTTGTTGTCTGCATGCTAGTGATACAAACCAGCTCATGCATGCATGCTAAGCTTGGCACTTCTCGGCATCTGGGGCTCCGGAGAGCTCAAGGTCCACGCGAAGCTTCAACATCTTGGACTGCGAAATCAGGATCTGGCCCAGCACATCTTTGCAATCCATGATGTCCTTAGGTAGTGCTCTCAGGTGGATCCTATATTTGCAAAAGAAGAAGTATTGTGGATTGGCTTCCAAGAAATAAGGAACATGCATGAGTGGATAACATGAGCACTACCTAAGTGCATGCTTATACCTGTTATTGCCTTCGACATGATGAATATTTATACAGTGTTTGTTGATACATATACATAACATATATATATATATGCACTTTGTAAAGGCACCCCATAGAATGTACGATATATATATACACACACACACGAAATGTTTCAGGGGTCGCAGCACGGAGAGCGGGCATATGTAAACATATATCCCTATATATTACATGAACACATATACTTAATATCTATATATATATATATATATATATATACGTATACAAATAACATACAAAACCCCCTTCCCTTCTGTAGTAATATATGTACAGTATTTCCTACATGTAATACATGAACTGTAAATCAAGCAAGCACGGGTCGTCGGTCGGTAGCTCCTCTCCAAAACCTTCGTTTTTCGACTTTTGTCGCTTGGGCTGCCTGCGCTTCCCGTCGCTTGGCTCATACTCCTCCTCGGAATTCTCGGCCGACTCGTCATCCTTATCGGAGATGTCTGAGCCGACCAGGTCCTCCAGCCCCAAGGGCAACTGATCGACCTCACCCTCCGCGAGCATGGTATCCTCTGTGTACTTTTCTTTTTCTGCATTCTGCTTCACACCCTCAACCTCTTCCTCGAATGCGAACTTCAGCTTTGTGAGATCTTTCGGCTCATACTTGTCCTTCCTACACATGGCATGTATACATGACAAGAACTGAACATGCAAAGCCATGGCATGCTGCATAACATCTGGAACATGACATGTAGCTGGCATGCTGGGGCCTGACATGAGTGGCCCGGTTCTCCTTCCTCATGCAGTACTTCTTGATTGCCTTGATCCGCTTCCTGAAACATGTTTGCATCTACAATTGTACCTAGAGCAGGGCATGCGCTTGAAAACAACCATCATGAGACGAGCAATACCACCATGAGAGCCAGGACATGAACATGGCACATGCATGTAGTTGCTGTCATGATAGAGTTGTTGTCATCGACTCTAGGTGCAGTCGAAACACTCGGGGAGCTTCTTCTCAGTTCTCAGCTGGTGCTCGGTGTAAAACTTCGTTCTTTCTGTGAGCTCAGCTTTGCGGCTTCGCGTGTACTGGTGGCTGATCTTCTTCTTGAAGGCTTCCTGAAGGCAGATTTGCAAATAGGTATAAAGTATAGCCAGAAACCCTCATGCTCATGCAAAAAACCTTGAGCTACTCTTCTCGATTGTTGTAGATGCCATGCATGCATGTCATGTCATGATCATGTCGCGGTCCGGCTTGCCCTTGCAGGAGATAAGCACTTTCAGCAAAGAGCGGCGCGAAGTTCCACCCTGCTTCCATTTCGCATGAACCTCCTCGGGCACGTCCAGGCGACCGTTCGTCTTCCTCCTGCAGATCCTCATGAGAGTGGCGTCCAAGGCACTTTGGGTCATCGATCTCGAATTCGCCGAGGAAGCGAGCTTGATCTTCGGAGCCTGCCAGCATGGCTGTCTGCTAATCAACTAAAATATTATATGCGGAGTGAGAGTGCCCAGCCTTGTTCTTCCTGGGCGTCACAGACTCAACACTCTTGGCAGGCGGCGCGTGAGGGTCGTCGGTGCCCTGGCCAATCACGTATTCATCCATGACTACATACTACACCGTTACAAAAGTGTGTGTGCATACATATATATATATATATATAATATATGCCATGTAATATATACAATATGTGCTAACACAGTTTCATACTTCGCTGAATATCATGCAAGGACAGCTATATAGACGTGCCCAGAGATGTGCACACACCAGCAAGCAGATGTAACCACATGAAACAAAATCATATTTGTCTCTAAAGTTCTTGTCTGTATGTGCACAGATGCATGATAGGAGACATATATGTTCGTGTGCATTGATGTGAGGTATGCATAACTGTGTTTCGATTGCTATCTGCGAGCGGAACTGCTATATAGTTATGCTGTTATGCTTGGATCAAAATTAACGGTTTAACATCTATCGTGCACACGGCACAAAGTCAGATCTAACTGAGGCGACTCATAGCATGTGTGTGGTATATACATAAATAAATATATATATATATATATACACATATGTATATGTATATTACTGAAGTCTGGAACTTCGTATATAGTGATATATACATTATATTATAGTATTATATAATATTATATATACATATATGTATATGTAATATATATGTATAGAAATCAAATCAGAAGCTATAGGTGATACTTGCCTTGTGTACGATAACCTGAGAAACAATTGATGATACATGTATTCCCCCCACCCTTCCCCCCCCGACCCCCCCACTACCACCAAATCGGACCACCCGGCCTCGAAGTCACTCTGCAAGCTTCGTGGCTTGAGTGGGCTTGGCTCGGCGTCCACACGTGGCCGCTTGGGAGTGCCGTGCGGCGGCAGCATGTAGCCACTTCTCTTTGAAGGATCTCCCCGGGGGCTGGGCGGAGGCGGGGCACCCTGAGGCTTTGAAGGGCCAGCCGCGACATCGGCTGCTTGTGTCTTTGACGTGTCGCGGGGTGCTGCTGGACTCGACTTTGCACGTCGCGCTGCTGACTCAGCCTGCAGGCTCTGCTTCGGCAGATTCCTGGGGTTTTGCTGCTTTGCTGCTGGACTTCGCGGGTGGCGGTGCTGCTGCAGTCGAACTCGACTTTCTGGGTGTTGCTGGGCAGGACTTGGAACGGACTGCTGCTTCGCTCGGCTTCACACACGGCGCTTTCGGGCTCGCTGCCTTCGGGCGTGGTGGGCTTGAGCTTCGGGTCTTTGCAGGGCTCGATGCTGGCAGATGGTTGCGTCGAAGGTTCAGGTGCAGCAGGTCCGGCAGGCAGTTCCTGTAGGGCAAGGAACAGCATGTATAGACCATTTATCATAATAAAGAAAAGCATCTGCCCATAATATAGTATAATATTTATATAATATAATATAAAATGTATATACTCATGTTTATCGGACTACACATGCAGAGCCATCAAAACAGGTTTCTTCATATATCTATATATATATGTATATATGCATATATATACACACACATATATATAATAGAGAATGTTTCTGTTCATCTTCTGTGTCGTGCATGTATGCTGATACAGCTCTTGTATGTATGCATATATATATATATATATATATATATATGTAAAACATTATGCATGTATGCATGCAGGCATGCAAGCATGCTTGTGTGAATGCATTAATGCAGGAATGCTGTGTATGTATATCATGCATATATACATATATAATTTATGATCACATATTATTATATATATATATATGTATATATATGCATGTATACATAAAATACAATCTATACGCTTGTGTCATGAGTGTGACACAAAGGATTCTTGCTTTGGGGCAACCCAAGTGCGAAGCATGCAATACACATGCATATGTTGCTGCAGGAGTAAACGTGAGGATGCATGAATATGTATGCCATGGTTCTTCTTGCCAGCCTATATCTCTCATGAAGATCTCCGTGGCTTACATGTGCATATGTCTTCCACAAGCCAGCCTCGTCGACCTCCATTTCAGTTGGTGTGAGGGATCCAGTTTCCTCCACTTCCCGATCTAACCCCAAGCTGGCCAGCGTCGCAGTGTAACGTTCTGGAGTGGTCTGGATAGCTGGGCCATCCGACGAGGCTGTATCCAAGTACGGATCCACTTGCGTTGGCTCCACTTGCTGGGGGCTGCAGGAGGCTGCTGGGGCCGGGCTTTGCGCTTCGTCGGGCTTTGGAGGGGATATCTTCTCTGGCGTTACAGGGGACCTCTTTTTTCTGACCCCCTGCATCTTTTTTTTGACCCCCAACCCCGGGGCAGCCCCGCCCCCTCCCCCTGCCGGCCCCAGTGTGCTTCCTATCTGCATTTCAACCCCCTATGTCTTTTTTCTGACCTCCTATGTCTTCCCTCAACCCCCCTAGATTGACCCTTATCGCGATGCCGATCTCGTGGGTCACCCCCCTTTATCTTTTGTTTGACCCTGGAAGTCCTTTCCCCGACCCGGCCGACCGTTGCGGTGCGCACCTGTCGGACCCAGCCTTGATGGAGTCCAGGGACCGACAGGTCTCAAACAGCGCCCTCCCCGACCGGCAAGAGGGCTTGAATCGACCCCTGTGGGGGGCTTCGCACGACCCTGAGGCAGCAGGAACAGAAGAACCTGATAACCAGCGCCTTTCGATTTTGCTACGCTTTCGGGGTGGTGCCGGGAATTAGTTCGTACTAGAACAGAAAAGTAGCGCTTTTAGCTTGAACCCCTAAAATCCATCCCAGGGCATGCTAGTGTCGAGTTGAGACTTGGTGTTGAAAGGGTTTTTCGGGAAAGGGGCATGGAATCAGCTGCAGGTTTCCGCTGCATCGCGGCCATATAACGCATATAGTAGTGATGGAGATGCACCCACCAAGCCGTTTAACCATAATCTCGACAGCTTTAGTAACCTATGTGGTGTTTGCTTTGTGTACGATTCATCTTTGTCTGAGAGTCCTGCACAAGTGGTGCGGAAGGGTACTAGCAACAATTGTTACGTGAAGATTCCACATCCTTTGCTGGATCCCGTACTCCAGACACACACAGATCGTTTGGAGAAGTTCTATGCGCAGACGTTTTGGTGCAACGTGGAAGTTTTCAGATGCTGTCAGGCTGCTATCGCCATTGCCAAACGGGGATGCAACGTGGACAGGTGCTTGCTCGGAATATCTCCTGGCGGCATGGGTCAGAGCTTGTACTCTCTTCATTTGTCGGAGATGTACAAACATAACCACGTCTGCTTCGACCCCAATATCTGGTACCTGGACGAGGAACTTCGCAAGCAAGTCGAGACTTTCGCAAGATCCTTCATCATGACAGGACAAGAGGCACCAGAGAGCAACAAGAAGCTTCACATTGTCCTCTACAAAAAGACTATTTCCGCTGATGGAATCATGGGGCGCAAGCCGTGTGGATACAGCACCAAGATGTTCCATACAGTTGGATGGGCTAGGCTCGAAGTCAACCGGATCATGAAGTTTACAGGCGTCGGCAACAGTACGTTCAACTCCATGTTCCGATGTGCCCTGGTGTGGAAAGCAAAAGCTCGTTTTATCCACAAGAAGTTTCTCATTGCTTATGAGGATCATCAGCTTGACGGCATCTTCGAAGCAGACCCGAGTCTCAACAAGTTCCTGACCACATCTCAGGCTTCCATGGGCATTCGAAAAAGACCACAACAAGGCGGACTGCTACCAATTGATTGAGGATTAGTGCCACGGGGGGGATGGACATCTTACAGACGGTGTTATGCGAGCCGCTTGTGGTCTACCAGTTCGACAACGACAGCAGAACGTGCAAGAAGGTCTTGCAAATATGCTGGAAGCGGACGCCGACAGCGAGGCGGAGCGACAGGAGACAGACACCACTCGGGATAACGTGCGAGAGTACATCATGCATCAGATGCTTGACAAAGGCCTGGAAAGCATGACCTTCTACGAGTTCAAGAAGTTGAAGCTCGATGCAAAGGACCACCCCAATCTCTCAAAAAGTACTGGGATAACCTGCTGAACCGGAACGTTGTTGGATCGGCCCCAGAAGATCAGCCCCTCCGACTGCCAAGGAGGTTAATTTGTCCCTGCATCAAGACCCATCCCTTGCAGTCCGTTTCCAACAGCAGGTGATTGCACTCATGCCGCCCAATCTGGCAGGTGCTTAATCGCGTACTGCATCAAGCCTGGCAGGAGGCTAAGCCAAAAGCCCCTCCCCCTGCTTCGGCGCCGCAACCGGACACACTGGGCCTTATTCGACAACTATGGGCCGCACGCAGACAGCACGCTCAGCCCCCGCGAACTCACTCTGTGCTCCGAGGATGGTTCTGTGCTGCTCGTCTCAAGAGAGTCCAGAGACTTCTCCGCAAGGCCTGCATAGCCAAGAAAAGGAACCGGGTTGATGCCCTGTTGCAGGAAGCTGAGGCTTCCACACAGCCATCAGCGATCTACAGTGTAGTCCGAAGATTAGCACTTAAGACCAGGTCCTTGCGCATTCAGCTGCGGGACAAAGAGGGCAGACTTCTAGCGGGAGTAGAGGAGGCGCAAATCGCAGGATTCCTTCGTCAAGTCTTTGGCAGTCAAGCCATCAAGGAAGCTCCGAAGTATGCTGACTTTCAGGCCGTTCAGTTTGAGCAACTAGAGTTACTGCAAGCTCTCAAACGGCTGGGGGCCAACAAGGCTCTTCCCTCCATCTTTGCACCAGCCAGCCTGTGGAAACTGGCTCCGCAACAAGTTGTCCCGGCACTTCTCCCCACCATGAATCCCCAAGCTGGCATGATGTCCAACTCCACCTCATCGCCGTCACCAACCATGGACATCCCATCATGCAAGCCTGTGCGAATGAAGCGAAACCCTGTCCCCGCGCGAACCTATACACGTAAGTACCCGACACCAATTCTGTGGTTGCATCCTGCAACCCGCATTAATCCGACGACCGAGCCCAAACGCTTCAAAAAGGGCCTAGGCCCTCATCTTGATGCGACAGTCAGGTCTGTCGTATTACCGCAGACCTGAGCGCCTTCGTGGTAATCGCACAAACAATCGACATCCCGGTACAATGAAGATACTTGGACATAATACATTGGAGGCAGAACTTACCTGCAAAATCATTAGCATGTCGGTGTTTGCCTCAGGAGATGGAGGACTGCTGCTCCAAATGCGACGATTGAGGATATACCAGAGAACTCGTCCGAGCATGGGCTGAGTAGCATTCCCTGCGTAATATCAGACAGAGGGTAAACGGGATACGAATCTGTATCAGGCTAGCTCTATCTCAAACAAAAACAATCCGTATGATTTCTTCAGGCCCGTTGTACCAGATGACGAGCATGCATCGACTATGTGGTCTGACTGCATTCAGCGTCAGCAGGATGTATCACGCTCGCATACAAATTTGTGTGTTGCATATAACTTTGTAGTATGCGGTTCGAGGTCGGTGGACCAGGAGGACACGCCCGCCTTTGTCGTGTCTGCTGGTCGCAGAGATGCTGGGGATGGACTATCAGCATGAAAACGTTGGTGTGCATCCCTTCCTCGTATTATATAATAAGGTCGACTGTCAAATTCGAGCCCGATGAGTTTGTCAGCCTGGCTGCCACAATTCCCGGTGAAGCCTGGTGGGGTAACCTCGCAAGGGAAATCCTACACAGATTAGACTGGCTGCATATATATATATATATCCAGTATGCCCGAAAACGTTCTGTCCTCCACTGCATAAGGCCGAACACGAGAGCTACTGCCACCTGGAACTGGCGTGTCAGTATGAGTCAGTATGAAGACAGACAATGATCCTGGGTTGTACAAACGGTTTCATAACCAACTGCATACTATTGCAGTTTATACATCATGTTGCTGCCAAGGGACTGGATTCTTACATGTGGGGCGGAAGTACGGCAGAACAAGTCCCCATAGATACTCGGCATATAAATGTGCGAATAAGCCGGTTGTACTCGTTACTGTCTGTACGCCATGACTGTGAAACCCAGGTGACAGCATCATCCTGCAAAACTGCATCTGCCCGACCACATCCAATGTGATCCTGCAGCCACCAGCCACGAGGAGGACACTAACACAATCCCTCTTTGTATTCGCATCATTGTCCTCAGACATGACAGGACCAAAGCCGTGCTACATGCTTATATTGCCAGGGACGCAGGATGCAGTCAGTTTACTTTTTTGTTCGAGCCCATTTCTGCTGACATGCGTGTGAATGTGAAATGCAGCTCTTCTACATTGTCCACACACGGCAGCTTGTGACTGATTTCAGCACAATATCGTGTGGGTTCTAGATAGTCCGTGTGTATGTAGCTACACGATGACCCTACACTGAGTCTACTGTCCGAGGCATTGACCATGGCAGCAGACTGACACAGACATGCCTGATTGATACCATCAGGGCGCTTGGTATCAAAGTTCCCTACGAGCGCAGTGCCCATGCTGGGCGATTCATGACGGCTCCAGCATGTTGGCGCCGTTCGGGTGTCTCTCAATGCATACAAGACTTGACAGATCCTCACGTTTGCCCTAATACACATGTTATTTTGCTGCTCTGCGGTATACCATCACGCGCGAGACGGTAGATTTCAAGACGGCTGGATCGTACATTCTTTGCCGAGACTTCCACTTTCAAGGCGTGCGTGTTTTCTCAGATGGAAACAGTTACACGAAGCCACAGGACAGGCGACAATATCACAGTCGCACCGCAGATGGTGTAAGCCGCATCATGGGAACGTACGTTCAAGCTCCATCCGAGCAGATACGGGCTTAAGTACATGGAATCAGAACATCCCTGCCACGATTTCCTTGGTGGAGCGGTGGCTTGGCGGCATCTGATGTATCACTTCTCGGCTCGGACTTCAACTCTATGTTAATATCGAATGTTGGTGTGTCTTATCAGACTCCGTCTCAGATGGATGTCGACGAAGTGATTGGAGAACGCAACTCGGCCTTATTGTACTGTCATCGTTCCAGGCTTGATGAACCCGGCAGTGAAGTCTTTTGCTTTAAGCCAACGTGCGGTGTTTGTTCCCCCGATGTAGTTGAGGCGGATGGGGAGGGCAACTGGAGTCAATTGTCGGGGCCGTCTTGCGAGAAGAACCTCGTCTTCCGGTCTTCAAGATACCCTATGATCATCCTGCCGCATCTACAGCTTCTATCAGCTCTTGTACAGAACTTGCACTCATCAATTCCCACGAGCTGGATTCGCGACTACGATTCCATTCAGAGGATCATGTGTACTTCTACGATGGACAACGGGTTGGATGCACTGCTGCTTGTCTGCTTGTACAGTAATATCAGTTGTGATTTGAGTCTTCGCTTGGTGATAATGGACGGACCGTGCAGAGATCGAGGGTTGGCCGGAGCTGGAGAAGCAGTGCATGCTGCTTGATAGCGAGATTCGACTCATGTGGGATACCAAGAGACGCGAAGCTGCTAACTCCGGAACATGGACGCATGCCATGTTGGAGTTTTTGTTCAATGGGTACCAAGTGATGCCCGGTAACATGACCGGGGAACTGGATGCAGCTGTTGCACTGATTCATCAACTTGGGAATGTGGAGGTTTACCGCACGGAGTGGTGTATATATGCCTCACGGGAAGATGTGGCTGGGTCCATCGATCTTGTACTGAAATCCAGCGAAGACGAAACCTTCTATCTCGTTGATTGGAAGCGAAGTGAGAAACTTCAAGTTAAGTACAATGGGTTCGACCGTTACATGAATCCGCCTCTACAGAACATTGCGGATTGTCACGGATACCATTCCAGATTGCAACTCAACATGTACAAGTGGATACTCCAGACGTATTATGGCATCAAAGTCCTGGCCATGAAAGTCGTGTGTGTTCATCCCAGGTACCTGCCTGGAGGCTTCGTGGACGATGTGCTGGACCTACAAGAGGAAGTCGGCAAACTCACGCAATGCCTTCGAGACCATCGACTCGCCAGGGACATGGGCTCCTCAGCCTGAATCTCAGCAGCATGAAGTTCCTGCTGCTCAGGCGCCTCCTACTGAACTTGCAGACATGCAGCCCTTTGCTGTGGAATTGCCATCGCAAAGATCACATCCTGATGATCGGGAGCAATGGCTTGAGGAGATTATGGACGAAGAAGAAAATGTTGTTCCAGCGGCAGCCAAGAAGCGACGTCTTATACCAGGAGTTGATACACATGTTCTTCGATTTCAGAACCTTGTCGCCAGGTCTCATACCATTTTGTCCGACACACGGGATGCTCTTGCGAAGGATGTGTGTTCGCTGCCCAACAGCATTTTGCACAACGCGAATGAGATGCTTCGTCAACTACAGCAGAACTTTCCCAATATATCAGATGAGATCCGGCGGCTTATACTTGTCGCGGCGCATTTAGTTGAGGGCAAAATCTCTGACAAGCCTATGCTCGCAGATGCAGCTGTTCTCACGTGGATGGTCGGATCGCGCCACATGCGAGTGCATCGGGGGTTCCTCTACATATACGACGATGATGGATGCTTCCTTCCGTTTGGCGGAATCCCGCCTGAGGCTGTGCTCCATCGTGTACACCACTTCTTCGTGTGGCTAGAAGGTATCTTCAGACGAATGAGATGAGACTCGAAAAAACCGAAACAGTTGCAGCAGCTATCGTGGCAGATCTACAGACGTTTGAATCGGAGCCGGAGCAAGAATTTCTGTCAGCTTGTCGTGCAGCTACCAACCGACGACTGCGGAGTCCAGTATATACTCCCAGATTGGATGAAGCAGATGCAATCGAGACTGCAGCTATGCATCAAGAAGTTCAGGCCGCGCGACCCAGGAACCAGATTGGATATTGCAGACAAATGCTGGAAGCTGTCCGGCACAGTGGGACTGGAATTGATGCAAACAAGGATGATATCCTTGCTGGTGGAATGGTGCGAGACAGAGGATCAGAGAGCTGCGTCGGTGTGCTATGATGATGTTTGCTTTGTGTCCCCTTTGTCTGAGAGTCCTGTACAAGTGGCGCGGAAGGGTCCTAGCAACAACTGTTAGGTGAAGATTCCACATCCTTTGCTGGATCCCGTACTCCAGACACACACAGATCGTTTGGAGAAGTTCTATGCGCAGACGTTTTGGTGCAACGTGGAAGTTTTCAGATGCTGTCAGGCTGCCGTCGCCATTGCCAAACGGGGATGCAACGTGGACAGGTGCTTCATCGGAATATCTCCTGGCGGCATGGGTCAGAGCTTGTACTCTCTTCATTTGTCGGAGATGTACAAACATAACCACGTCTACTTCGACCCCAATATCTGGTACCTGGACGAGGAACTTCGCAAGCAAGTCGAGACTTTCGCAAGACCCTTCATCACGACAGGACAAGAGGCACCAGAGAGCAACAAGAAGCTTCACATTGACCTCTACAAAAAGATTATTTCCGCTGATGGAATCATGGGGCGCAATCCGTGTGGATACAGCACCAAGATGTTCCATACAGTTGGATGGACTAGGCTCGAAGTCAACCGGATCATGAAGTTTACAGGCGTCGACAAAGTACGTTCAACTCCATGGTCCGACGTGCCCTGGTGTGGAAAGCAAAAGCTCATTTTATCCACAAGAAGTTTCTCACTGCTTATGAGGATCATCAGCTTGACGGCATCTTCGAAGCAGACCCGAGTCTCAACAAGTTCCTGACCACATCTCAGGCTTCCATGGGCATTCGAAAAAGACCACAACAAGGCGGACTGCTACCAATTGATTGAGGATTACTGCCACGGGGGGGGGATGGACATCTTACAGAAGGTGTTATGCGAGCCGCTTGTGGTCTACCAGTTCGACAACGACAGCAGAACGTGCAAGAAGGTCTTGCAAATATGCTGGAAGCGGACGCCGACAGCGAGGCGGAGCGACCGGAGAAAGACACCACTTGGGATAACCTGCCAGAGTACATCATGCATCAGATGCTTGACAAAGGCCTGGAAAGCATGGCCTTCTACGAGTTCAAGAAGTTGAAGCTCGATGCAAAAGGACCATCCCAATCTCTCAAAAAGTGATATCTGGGATAACCTGCTGAACCGGAACATTGTTAGTTAGATCGGCCCCAGAAGATCAGCCCCTCCGACTGCCAAGGAGGTTAACCTGTCCCTGCATCAAGACCCATCCCTTGCAGTCCGTTTCCAACAGCAGGCGACCGCACTCATGCCGCCCAATCTGGCAGGTGACCCAACACAGGTGCTTAATCGCGTACTGCATCAAGCCTGGCAGGAGGAAGCCAAAAGCCCCTCCCCCTGCTTCGGCGCCGCAACCGGACACACTGGGCCTTATTAGACAACTATGGGCCGCACGCAGACAGCACGCTCAGCCCCCGCGAACTCACTCTGTGCTCCGAGGATGGTTCCGTGCTGCTCGTCTCAAGAGAATCCAGAGACTTCTCCGCAAGGCCTGCGTAGCCAAGAAAAGGAACCTGGTTGATGCCTTGTTGCAGGAAGCTGAGGCTTCCACACAGCCATCAGCGATCTACAGTGTAGTCCGAAGATTAGCACTTAAGACCAGGTCCTTACGCATTCAGCTACGGGACAAAGAGGGCAGACTTCTAGCGGGAGTAGAGTCTTTGGCAGTCAAGCCATCAAGGAAGCTCCGAAGTATGCTGACTTTCAGGCCGTTCAGCTTGAGGAACTAGAGTTACTGCAAGCTCTCAAACGGCTGGGGGGCAACAAGGCTCTTCCCTCCATCTTTGCACCAGCCAGTCTGTGGAAACTGGCTCCGCAACAAGTTGTCCCGGCACTTCTCCCCACCATGAATCAGGCCTCCACATGCATGGACCCAAGCTGGCATGATGTCCAACTCCACCTCATCGCCATCACCAACCATGGACATCCCATCATGCAAGCCGGTGCGAATGAAGCGAAAACCCTGTCCCCGCGCGAACCTATACACGTAAGTACCCGATACCAATTCTGTGCTGCACGAAAGAACGCGAAGCGACCCCAAGGAACGGTGTGCCATCACCATCCATGGATATCCCATCACGCAAGCCTGTGCGAATGAAACGAACCAGTGCGCATGCCTGGAAGAAGAGCAAACCTGCCTGGAAGGGTAAGGGGTCATTATTGAGGCACAGTCTGCGCCTCGTTCCCCCATGAAGTGAACCCGTGCGAACGCCTGGAAGAAGGGGCTGCACGCTCCCCAATCCTTTCAGCGGGTTTGCAAGGCCACCCCCAAGGAATGGCGTGCCATCACCAACGCCATGCGAACCTGTGCGAATCCTGCGAACCCATTCGATTGACTGAAAAAGAGGCTGCGCGCAACCCACCCGGGTGCTTAGCAAGCTCTTGTAATCAGTTTTTTGTGTAAGGAGAGGTGAAATTCTCCAGATATTCTAGCTTTGTGGCGGGGGGCTTATTGCTAGGCTCGAAGTCAACCGGATCATGAAGTTTACAGGCGTCGGCAACAGTACGTTCAACTCCATGTTCCGATGTGCCCTGGTGTGGAAAGCAAAAGCTCGTTTTATCCACAAGAAGTTTCTCATTGCTTATGAGGATCATCAGCTTGACGGCATCTTCGAAGCAGACCCGAGTCTCAACAAGTTCCTGACCACATCTCAGGCTTCCATGGGCATTCGAAAAAGACCACAACAAGGCGGACTGCTACCAATTGATTGAGGATTAGTGCCACGGGGGGGATGGACATCTTACAGACGGTGTTATGCGAGCCGCTTGTGGTCTACCAGTTCGACAACGACAGCAGAACGTGCAAGAAGGTCTTGCAAATATGCTGGAAGCGGACGCCGACAGCGAGGCGGAGCGACAGGAGACAGACACCACTCGGGATAACGTGCGAGAGTACATCATGCATCAGATGCTTGACAAAGGCCTGGAAAGCATGACCTTCTACGAGTTCAAGAAGTTGAAGCTCGATGCAAAGGACCACCCCAATCTCTCAAAAAGTACTGGGATAACCTGCTGAACCGGAACGTTGTTGGATCGGCCCCAGAAGATCAGCCCCTCCGACTGCCAAGGAGGTTAATTTGTCCCTGCATCAAGACCCATCCCTTGCAGTCCGTTTCCAACAGCAGGTGATTGCACTCATGCCGCCCAATCTGGCAGGTGCTTAATCGCGTACTGCATCAAGCCTGGCAGGAGGAAGCCAAAAGCCCCTCCCCCTGCTTCGGCGCCGCAACCGGACACACTGGGCCTTATCCGACAACTATGGGCCGCACGCAGACAGCACGCTCAGCCCCCGCGAACTCACTCTGTGCTCCGAGGATGGTTCTGTGCTGCTCGTCTCAAGAGAGTCCAGAGACTTCTCCGCAAGGTCTGCATAGCCAAGAAAAGGAACCGGGTTGATGCCCTGTTGCAGGAAGCTGAGGCTTCCACACAGCCATCAGCGATCTACAGTGTAGTCCGAAGATTAGCACTTAAGACCAGGTCCTTGCGCATTCAGCTGCGGGACAAAGAGGGCAGACTTCTAGCGGGAGTAGAGGAGGCGCAAATCGCAGGATTCCTTCGTCAAGTCTTTGGCAGTCAAGCCATCAAGGAAGCTCCGAAGTGTGCTGACTTTCAGGCCGTTCAGTTTGAGCAACTAGAGTTACTGCAAGCTCTCAAACGGCTGGGGGCCAACAAGGCTCTTCCCTCCATCTTTGCACCAGCCAGCCTGTGGAAACTGGCTCCGCAACAAGTTGTCCCGGCACTTCTCCCCACCATGAATCCCCAAGCTGGCATGATGTCCAACTCCACCTCATCGCCGTCACCAACCATGGACATCCCATCATGCAAGCCTGTGCGAGTGAAGCGAAACCCTGTCCCCGCGCGAACCTATACACGTAAGTACCCGACACCAATTCTGTGGTTGCATCCTGCAACCCGCAGTAATCCGACGACCGAGCCCAAACGCTTCAAAAAGGGCCTAGGCCCTCATCTTGATGCGACAGTCAGGTCTGTCGTATTACCGCAGACCTGAGCGCCTTCGTGGTAATCGCACAAACAATCGACATCCCGGTACAATGAAGATGCTTGGACATAACACATTGGAGGCAGAACTTACCTGCAAAATCATTAGCATGTCGGTGTTTGCCTCAGGAGATGGAGGACTGCTGCTCCAAATGCGACGATTGAGGATATACCAGAGAACTCGTCCGAGCATGGGCTGAGTAGCATTCCCTGCGTAATATCAGACAGAGGGTAAACGGGATACGAATCTGTATCAGGCTAGCTCTATCTCAAACAAAAACAATCCGTATGATTTCTTCAGGCCCGTTGTACCAGATGACGAGCATGCATCGACTATGTGGTCTGACTGCATTCAGCGTCAGCAGGATGTATCACGCTCGCATACAAATTTGTGTGTTGCATATAACTTTGTAGTATGCAGTTCGAGGTCGGTGGACCAGGAGGACACGCCCGCCTTTGTCGTGTCTGCTGGTCGCAGAGATCCTGGGGATGGACTATCAGCATGAAAACGTTGGTGTGCATCCCTTCCTCGTATTATATAATAAGGTCGACTGTCAAATTCGAGCCCGATGAGTTTGTCAGCCTGGCTGCCACAATTCCCGGTGAAGCCTGGTGGGATAACCTCGCAAGGGAAATCCTACACAGATTAGACTGGCTGCATATATATATATATCCAGTATGCCCGAAAACGTTCTGTCCTCCACTGCATAAGGCCGAACACGAGAGCTACTGCCACCTGGAACTGGCGTGTCAGTATGAGTCAGTATGAAGACAGACAATGATCCTGGGTTGTACAAACGGTTTCATAACCAACTGCATACTATTGCAGTTTATACATCATGTTGCTGCCAAGGGACTGGATTCTTACATGTGGGGCGGAAGTACGGCAGAACAAGTCCCCATAGATACTCGGCATATAAATGTGCGAATAAGCCGGTTGTACTCGTTACTGTCTGTACGCCATGACTGTGAAACCCAGGTGACAGCATCATCCTGCAAAACTGCATCTGCCCGACCACATCCAATGTGATCCTGCAGCCACCAGCCACGAGGAGGACACTAACACAATCCCTCTTTGTATTCGCATCATTGTCCTCAGACATGACAGGACCAAAGCCGTGCTACATGCTTATATTGCCAGGGACGCAGGATGCAGTCAGTTTACTTTTGTTCGAGCCCATTTCTGCTGACATGCGTGTGAATGTGAAATGCAGCTCTTCTACATTGTCCACACACGGCAGCTTGTGACTGATTTCAGCACAATATCGTGTGGGTTCTAGATAGTCCGTGTGTATGTAGCTACACGATGACCCTACACTGAGTCTACTGTCCGAGGCATTGACCATGGCAGCAGACTGACACAGACATGCCTGATTGATACCATCAGGGCGCTTGGTATCAAAGTTCCCTACGAGCGCAGTGCCCATGCTGGGCGATTCATGACGGCTCCAGCATGTTGGCGCCGTTCGGGTGTCTCTCAATGCATACAAGACTTGACAGATCCTCACGTTTGCCCTAATACACATGTTATTTTGCTGCTCTGCGGTATACCATCACGCGCGAGACGGTAGATTTCAAGACGGCTGGATCGTACATTCTTTGCCGAGACTTCCACTTTCAAGGCGTGCGTGTTTTCTCAGATGGAAACAGTTACACGAAGCCACAGGACAGGCGACAATATCACAGTCGCACCGCAGATGGTGTAAGCCGCATCATGGGAACGTACGTTCAAGCTCCATCCGAGCAGATACGGGCTTAAGTACATGGAATCAGAACATCCCTGCCACGATTTCCTTGGTGGAGCGGTGGCTTGGCGGCATCTGATGTATCACTTCTCGGCTCGGACTTCAACTCTATGTTAATATCGAATGTTGGTGTGTCTTATCAGACTCCGTCTCAGATGGATGTCGACGAAGTGATTGGAGAACGCAACTCGGCCTTATTGTACTGTCATCGTTCCAGGCTTGATGAACCCGGCAGTGAAGTCTTTTGCTTTAAGCCAACGTGCGGTGTTTGTTCCCCCGATGTAGTTGAGGCGGATGGGGAGGGCAACTGGAGTCAATTGTCGGGGCCGTCTTGCGAGAAGAACCTCGTCTTCCGGTCTTCAAGATACCCTATGATCATCCTGCCGCATCTACAGCTTCTATCAGCTCTTGTACAGAACTTGCACTCATCAATTCCCACGAGCTGGATTCGCGACTACGATTCCATTCAGAGGATCATGTGTACTTCTACGATGGACAACGGGTTGGATGCACTGCTGCTTGTCTGCTTGTACAGTAATATCAGTTGTGATTTGAGTCTTCGCTTGGTGATAATGGACGGAGATCGAGGGTTGGCCGGAGCTGGAGAAGCAGTGCATGCTGCTTGATAGCGAGATTCGACTCATGTGGGATACCAAGAGACGCGAAGCTGCTAACTCCGGAACATGGACGCATGCCATGTTGGAGTTTTTGTTCAATGGGTACCAAGTGATGCCCGGTAACATGACCGGGGAACTGGATGCAGCTGTTGCACTGATTCATCAACTTGGGAATGTGGAGGTTTACCGCACGGAGTGGTGTATATATGCCTCACGGGAAGATGTGGCTGGGTCCATCGATCTTGTACTGAAATCCAGCGAAGACGAAACCTTCTATCTCGTTGATTGGAAGCGAAGTGAGAAACTTCAAGTTAAGTACAATGGGTTCGACCGTTACATGAATCCGCCTCTACAGAACATTGCGGATTGTCACGGATACCATTCCAGATTGCAACTCAACATGTACAAGTGGATACTCCAGACGTATTATGGCATCAAAGTCCTGGCCGTGAAAGTCGTGTGTGTTCATCCCAGGTACCTGCCTGGAGGCTTCGTGGACGATGTGCTGGACCTACAAGAGGAAGTCGGCAAACTCACGCAATGCCTTCGAGACCATCGACTCGCCAGGGACATGGGCTCCTCAGCCTGAATCTCAGCAGCATGAAGTTCCTGCTGCTCAGGCGCCTCCTACTGAACTTGCAGACATGCAGCCCTTTGCTGTGGAATTGCCATCGCAAAGATCACATCCTGATGATCGGGAGCAATGGCTTGAGGAGATTATGGACGAAGAAGAAAATGTTGTTCCAGCGGCAGCCAAGAAGCGACGTCTTATACCAGGAGTTGATACACATGTTCTTCGATTTCAGAACCTTGTCGCCAGGTCTCATACCATTTTGTCCGACACACGGGATGCTCTTGCGAAGGATGTGTGTTCGCTGCCCAACAGCATTTTGCACAACGCGAATGAGATGCTTCGTCAACTACAGCAGAACTTTCTCAATATATCAGATGAGATCCGGCGGCTTATACTTGTCGCGGCGCATTTAGTTGAGGGCAAAATCTCTGACAAGCCTATGCTCGCAGATGCAGCTGTTCTCACGTGGATGGTCGGATCGCGCCACATGCGAGTGCGTCGGGGGTTCCTCTACATATACGACGATGATGGATGCTTCCTTCCGTTTGGCGGAATCCCGCCTGAGGCTGTGCTCCATCGTGTACACCACTTCTTCGTGTGGCTAGAAGGTATCTTCAGACGAATGAGACCAGAGATAACTCGAAAAAACCGAAACAGTTGCAGCAGCTATCGTGGCAGATCTACAGACGTTTGAATCGGAGCCGGAGCAAGAATTTCTGTCAGCTTGTCGTGCAGCTACCAACCGACGACTGCGGAGTCCGGTATATACTCCCAGATTGGATGAAGCAGATGCAATCGAGACTGCAGCTATGCATCAAGAAGTTCAGGCCGCGCGACCCAGGCACCAGATTGGATATTGCAGACAAATGCTGGAAGCTGTCCGGCACAGTGGGACTGGAATTGATGCAAACAAGGATGATATCCTTGCTGGTGGAATGGTGCGAGACAGAGGATCAGAGAGCTGCGTCGGTGTGCTATGATGATGTTTGCTTTGTGTCCCCTTTGTCTGAGAGTCCTGTACAAGTGGCGCGGAAGGGTCCTAGCAACAACTGTTAGGTGAAGATTCCACATCCTTTGCTGGATCCCGTACTCCAGACACACACAGATCGTTTGGAGAAGTTCTATGCGCAGACGTTTTGGTGCAACGTGGAAGTTTTCAGATGCTGTCAGGCTGCCATCGCCATTGCCAAACGGGGATGCAACGTGGACAGGTGCTTCATCGGAATATCTCCTGGCGGCATGGGTCAGAGCTTGTACTCTTCTTCATTTGTCGGAGATGTACAAACATAACCACGTCTACTTCGACCCCAATATCTGGTACCTGGACGAGGAACTTCGCAAGCAAGTCGAGACTTTCGCAAGACCCTTCATCACGACAGGACAAGAGGCACCAGAGAGCAACAAGAAGCTTCACATTGACCTCTACAAAAAGATTATTTCCGCTGATGGAATCATGGGGCGCAATCCGTGTGGATACAGCACCAAGATGTTCCATACAGTTGGATGGACTAGGCTCGAAGTCAACCGGATCATGAAGTTTACAGGCGTCGACAAAGTACGTTCAACTCCATGGTCCGACGTGCCCTGGTGTGGACAGCAAAAGCTCATTTTATCCACAAGAAGTTTCTCACTGCTTATGAGGATCATCAGCTTGACGGCATCTTCGAAGCAGACCCGAGTCTCAACAAGTTCCTGACCACATCTCAGGCTTCCATGGGCATTCGAAAAAGACCACAACAAGGCGGACCGCTACCAATTGATTGAGGATTACTGCCACGGGGGGGGGATGGACATCTTACAGAAGGTGTTATGCGAGCCGCTTGTGGTCTACCAGTTCGACAACGACAGCAGAACGTGCAAGAAGGTCTTGCAAATATGCTGGAAGCGGACGCCGACAGCGAGGCGGAGCGACCGGAGAAAGACACCACTTGGGATAACCTGCCAGAGTACATCATGCATCAGATGCTTGACAAAGGCCTGGAAAGCATGGCCTTCTACGAGTTCAAGAAGTTGAAGCTCGATGTAAAAGGACCATCCCAATCTCTCAAAAAGTGATATCTGGGATAACCTGCTGAACCGGAACATTGTTAGTTAGATCGGCCCCAGAAGATCAGCCCCTCCGACTGCCAAGGAGGTTAACCTGTCCCTGCATCAAGACCCATCCCTTGCAGTCCGTTTCCAACAGCAGGTGATTGCACTCATGCCGCCCAATCTGGCAGGTGACCCAACACAGGTGCTTAATCGCGTACTGCATCAAGCCTGGCAGGAGGAAGCCAAAAGCCCCTCCCCCTGCTTCGGCGCCGCAACCGGACACACTGGGCCTTATTAGACAACTATGGGCCGCACGCAGACAGCACGCTCAGCCCCCGCGAACTCACTCTGTGCTCCGAGGATGGTTCCGTGCTGCTCGTCTCAAGAGAATCCAGAGACTTCTCCGCAAGGCCTGCGTAGGCGTAGCCAAGAAAAGGAACCTGGTTGATGCCTTGTTGCAGGAAGCTGAGGCTTCCACACAGCCATCAGCGATCTACAGTGTAGTCCGAAGATTAGCACTTAAGACCAGGTCCTTACGCATTCAGCTACGGGACAAAGAGGGCAGACTTCTAGCGGGAGTAGAGTCTTTGGCAGTCAAGCCATCAAGGAAGCTCCGAAGTATGCTGACTTTCAGGCCGTTCAGCTTGAGGAACTAGAGTTACTGCAAGCTCTCAAACGGCTGGGGGGCAACAAGGCTCTTCCCTCCATCTTTGCACCAGCCAGTCTGTGGAAACTGGCTCCGCAACAAGTTGTCCCGGCACTTCTCCCCACCATGAATCAGGCCTCCACATGCATGGACCCAAGCTGGCATGATGTCCAACTCCACCTCATCGCCATCACCAACCATGGACATCCCATCATGCAAGCCGGTGCGAATGAAGCGAAAACCCTGTCCCCGCGCGAACCTATACACGTAAGTACCCGATACCAATTCTGTGCTGCACGAAAGAACACGAAGCGACCCCAAGGAACGGTGTGCCATCACCATCCATGGATATCCCATCACGCAAGCCTGTGCGAATGAAACGAACCAGTGCGCATTCCTGGAAGAAGAGCAAACCTGCCTGGAAGGGTAAGGGGTCATTATTGAGGCACAGTCTGCGCCTCGTTCCCCCATGAAGTGAACCCGCGCGAACGCCTGGAAGAAGGGGCTGCACGCTCCCCAATCCTTTCAGCGGGTTTGCAAGGCCACCCCCAAGGAATGGTGTGCCATCACCAACGCCATGCGAACCTGTGCGAATCCTGCGAACCCATTCGATTGACTGAAAAAGAGGCTGCGCGCAACCCACCCGGGTGCTTAGCAAGCTCTTGTAATCAGTTTTTTGTGTAAGGAGAGGTGAAATTCTCCAGATATGCTAGCTTTGTGGCGGGGGGCTTATTTGTTTAGGCTCTGGCCTGCCTGGCTACAGGAGGGTCAAAATCAAGACAGTAGGGGTCAAACCAAAGATACGGGGGTCAGAAAGAAGTGGTTCAGGGGTCAGAATGCAGCTGTTCAGGGGTCAATAAAAAGATCAGGGGTCAAAAAAGACATAGGGGGTCAAGAAAAAGACATGCCCTATTTACCACAACTCGTTGAGAAAGACCTTGTTCAATCCTCGAGACACCAACGACATTCCAGTGGATATTGGAAATCTCAAACCAGACAGGTACACCCATGGAGAAGAACCGATCAACAAGGATTTCTTTGAGGATGATAAGTTTTGGACTTTGGATGAGCCTCACAGAGACCCAGAACCACTAGGAGGTTTATCTTGGACAGGACGCAGTGTATTTGAACTCATTGAACCAGTGAACCCCAAGGCCAGGAAACCAAAGCAGAAGGTTCACCAATTGGACACGATTCCAGAACTGTTCGTTTGTAACCTAGTGCACGTAGTCCCAAGTAGAGTGTGTAAAGTAATCACGAGAACACATGAAACATGTGTGTGAACCGCAACACGGAGGCTTAAGCAAGTCAGCCCGCGAAGTGAGAAAAGTGTGTTTGCGAGTAGAGTGGGAAGGAAGGCTTGAGAAGCCTTTAGTTTCAACATGGTAGCGGAGCTCCCTGATTCAGACCTCTTGGGAGCGATGAAGCTATCACAGGAACAACAGGTAGCTGTCGCCATGGTTTCCTTGGCTTTGGCTTTTTCGCTGATGTGTCTGGCGAGAAGCTTTGTGAAAGAACTTGTGAGAAAGGAGACGGGGGAGCGCGTAGCTCCAGCTGAGGAAGAAGTGCCAGAACTCTGGTACTCACCTTACGGAGAGAAGACCCACACCTCAGGAAGATGTCATGGCCTCAGGAACGCAACCAGCGTACACCGAGTACTACCATGCAAGTACTGCTGTCCCGGCGGACTTCGATCCCGGGAACAACGCACCTTCGAGTACAAGAGAACCTTTTTGGAAGCAGCAGGAAAGTACCTTTGGCTAAAAGTCTTCATGGTTGTGGTTCTCATGGGCATGTCATGGTTCATGGTTTTTGAAGTGAACGAGACCTACGGCTACCCGTTGGCCACGAACCGCATGCTGAACTACAGGAACAAGGTCCTCAGCCTCGACAACAAGAACCCCAAGAAGAAGCATGTGATAAAGGAGATTACCCCAGCGGATGTTGTACCTGCCGGGATGAGCCAAGAAGGTGATCACACAGAGCTTTTCACGTTGTGGTCGCATGTACATGAGCCCAATACCAAACCGAGAACGAGAACGAGATCAACGTCACGAGCTACCTCAAGAAGACGAACGCGTACTCCGAGTTCTACAAGAACAGAAGAAAAGGAACAAAGTTGCAACTACAGTTTTCATGATGGTGATGTCACGGAGTATAACGAGAACCTAAAGAACGAAGAAGTGCCCCACGTGAACTACTACAAGAACCTTGTGTTTGAGTTGGTTTTGGAGTTTCAAGAGTACCTTGCGAAAGCAGGAAGAAGCCTTGAGCCCGTCGTGAGCTACGTCGTGCGCACGTGTCACCCAGTACTACTTCTACTTGGGACCCCGCTCGGTATGGTCACTTGGATCTACCTCTATTTTTGGGTCAGAGTTAAGCAAACAAAAAGAGAACAGTTGAAGAAGAAGGTTTCGAGAAGGAAGTTGCACAGGTCAGTTTGCAGCATTCTTTTCAGGAAGCGAGTCTGGTTGCATGTTGTGTTGCTTTACAGTCACATGCAGAGTGCAGTTGCAATGGAGGAAGCCTTGCAAAGGCTTACGGACCTCACTGCCCAAAACACACAACAGATACAAGCACTTGCCCAGGCAATGAACAGTCAGCAAGCGCAGGCAGGTACAGCTTCACAACAACTACAGGAACTCGCGCAGTCAGTTTCACAACAGCAGAGAGCAATTACAGAAGCAACCCAAGCAACCAACACAGCACTGTCACAACAAGCAGAGCTTACAGCAAACGCGGTTGCAGCAACAGGAAAGCTTACAGCAGACGCAGTCACAGCACTGTCGCAGCACGCAGAGTCAAGAAGGCCAGGAGAGATCGACCTCCACAAGATGATCAAATCTCCAGAAGTATTTGGCCCTACTACGTACAAAGAAGAACGTGATGGTTTTCTAGAGTTTCGGTTGAAGCTGAGAAGTTGGATAGGCGCTCTCAATAACGACATCCTTGAGAAGATCAACGCAGTCGAGATGGACAGAAGAGAAGCATCATGGGAATGGAGCAAGCTTAACCCAGGTGAACAAGCACTCTCAAGAAAGCTACACTCCATTCTTACCAGCTACACACGTGGTCGTCCTCTACGAACTCTAAAGCAAGTACCCAACGAGAACGGTTTCGAAGCATGGAGGTTGTTGGTGGAGGAGCATCAACCTCACAATCGTGCACGTTCTCTACAACTACTTAACGGAGTTCTTCACTACAAGTTCGACAAGCAAAGGTCAACACAAGAAAATATCTTGAAGTTTGAGGAGCTGATTGAAGAGTACGAGAGAGCAAGTGGAGACCTTGTTGCGGATGATATGAAGATTTCTATCATTCTTGGAGGAACTGAAGGGAACATGAGACAACATCTTTTACTCAACCAGAAAGAGACCACAAGATATGGAACACTACGTCAGTACCTCCTCTCCTACGAGCAAGCAGCAAGGTGGACTACCACAGACCTCATCAACTCAGGAAAGGACCACCAAGGACAAGCAGACATGGATGTTACACGAGTTGAATGGTGGAAAGGCAAAGGAAAGGACAAAGGGAAAGGAAAGAAAGGAAAAGGATTCGGCAAGCACAAAGGAAAAGGCTACAGCAAAGGAAAAGGAAAAGGAGAAAGCCAGTACTACTACAAAGGCCGAGGAAAAGGAAAAGGACGAGGAAAAGGAAAAGGAAAAGGCAGAGGCCGAGGATATGGCAAAGGCGGGGGAAAAGGCTACAGCAGCAAAGGAAAAGGCAAAGGCTACAACAACCCAGGAGTTGCTGTTTGCCACTACTGCCAGAAGCCTGGACACTACGAAGCCAATTGTAGACTCAAGCAGAGAGACATGCAGCAGAATGTCAGGAACGCACAGGAGGATGACGAGCAAAGCGTCAGGACACAGCCGACTACAGTTCCAAGCAGTAGCGCTTCAGCAGCCACAACAAGAACTACAAGCGCGAAGTCTACAGCTAAGCCAACAGTCCGGCAGATCGCAATGTACCACATGGACGACGATCCCGTCACGTATCCTGAAGTTTTCGAACTTGATGAAGACGAAGAAGAGCTCGAGATTGAATACTTTGGAAGAGTTTTGAGAGTGAAGGAAGCTGAAGAGTTTGTTTTGTCAGAAGGAGAAGAGAGCGAAGAAGAACAAGAAGATCCTCTACTGAACTGGTACCTTGGACGTGAAGCACTACCACCCCAAGAAGTTCTTTCAGTGCGCGTTGTAGAAGAAGAGTTTTTCCAGGAAAGTGATCTACACCAGAGAATCGAAGTTATCCTGGACTCTGGCGCAGACGTTTCTCTTGTGCCCTCTTGGCTAGGAAAGGAAGGAACCCCTTTGAAGGTTCGCCCTTCGTCCATTCAGGACGCACAAGGAAAGGCAATAAAGACGGAAGGCAGAAGGATGCTGAACTTAACGTTCTTCGATGACAACGGAAGCTTTTGTCGCATTCAGGAAGCCTTCACCGTTGCCTCGGTGATCAACCCGCTGATGGCCATAGGCAAGCTGTTTCGAGAAGGTTGGGAGTTGCGAGTTAACGAAGAAGAAGGTATGTGTCTTACAGATGGAAACTCAAGAATACCAGTGCATCTCCACAAGAACAGCTTGGCAGCCTACGCCTACGTACAAACTCCTTCAAGAAGCAGAGGTTACAGCAGCAGCAACTACAAGATGGTTCGCACTGTTGTCCAACTCAACAAGCACGTTCAGGAAGCAGTGAACAAAGAAGAACCTGGTTGGCACAACACTGACAGCATGGTGATCGTGAAGTATGCTACTCAAAGCAGCTATGAGAACCCATCTCTCATGTATAGTCCTACACACTTTCCGTACAGAAGCACTTTGGTGAAAGAAGAGAGAGGATGGAGAGCAGTCGAAGTTTCGAGAAAGTACTCCGAGAAGGCAGACCCTTTTGAAGAGTTTGGTGAAGGAGAAAAGGAAGTGGTTACAGCTATTTCAGCAAAGCCAATTCCACTTTGGATTCTTGGCACTCCTTACGCAGCTGGAGATCGAGCAGACCAAGAAAGCCATGGTCGTGACTACTGGAAGATGGATCTTGAGAAGGGAGAAGTTGTTCGTCACCACGTAGTACCAAGAACTGCTTTGTTCGACCCGACAGGTGTTTCCAACTGTCCTGTCCTCCTTGGAGACCTCGAGAACAGCAGATATACCGATATACCCAAGGAGACTGTATCTACAGTACAGAAATCTACGAACATAGCGACGACTGGAGAGCAGACCGCCTACCTCTACGTGAACACTTTCGGTTACCGTGGTTTGGTCAAACAAGGTTTCGAGTTAAGCCAGGAGTTGTTGAAGACCTGAAGGCAGAAGCTGCAGCAGAGGAGCTAAAGAAGAAGAAAGAAGAGCACTACCAGCGGAAGGAAGACTCAGCAGCACCACCAGCAGCAGAAGAGATCAAAGATGAGGAGATGAGAGAAGCACAAGCAGACCAAGAAGCACCACAAGAAGTTGTTGAAGTTTTGGAGGAAAGCTTCTACCACGAAGGCGTTGAGTACACAGCACAAAGAAGCAGCCTCAAAGAACTACAAGCACTTTGCAGAGAGTACGGAGTCAAGACCACAGGAAGCAAGAAGCAGCTCTTGAAGAGACTCGCCACAGCAGTCAGAGAAGAAAGGCTCAACACACAACACAAGGAGCAACGGGAACACCACCAAGCATACCACCTAGCACCACCACAGGAACCAACGGAAGAGGAGAGAGCGTACCACAACTTGACGCACCTTCCGTATCAGCCTTGGTGTCCCCATTGCGTTGCTATGAAAGCACGAGAAGACAACCACAAGAAAGGATTGAGCAAGCCAAGCAGCTCTACGGATTCCGCGAAGCCCGTCATCAGTTTTGACTTTTGCTATACAAGCACCACAGGAAGTGAAGAGCCACCTGCAGTGACTCTTGTCGCTGTGGACAGCTGGAGTAAGGCAGTCTTGGCAGTGCCCTGCAAGAGGAAAGGAGGAGCAGGAAGCACAACGCACCTCGCGGAAGCACTCGTGCAGTTTACCACGCAGCTCGGGTACAATGCCCTCGTTCTCAAAGCAGACAACGAGAACGCAGCCAAAGCACTTAAGGACAAAGTACAGAAGGTACGTAGCAGCCTTGGACTTTCTACAACACTACAGGAAAGCATTCCTTACGACCACGAAAGCAATGGAGCCGCAGAAAGAGCAATACAGACAGTACGGAGGCAAGCGAACACTATTCTCGATGAGCTCAGAGAAAGAACACAGCTAGGAATACCGCATGAGCACGCAGTAGTAAGCTGGGCGTTTCGACACGCCTGCTGGCTACTCAACAGATTCGCAGTCAGTAGCTCCACAGGAAGAACGCCACAGGAAGTTATCCACGGATACCCCTACTCAGGGAAGCTTGTACCCTTTGGTACTGTTGTGATGGCGAAGAGGTTGAAGATCAAAAGAAAAGGTGACAGGATATGGAACGCAGGAATATTCTTAGGCAAGACAGAGCAAGACACTTGGATCGTTGCACAGCCTGATGGTATACATATCACACGCAGCGTGAGACCACTACCAGAACAGTACGACTCCAAGAGAACAAGCAGCATAGAGGTCCATACCTGGAACCTCAACACACCACTTCTTGGAGCAAGAGTACTTCCAGAGAAGAAGCAAAGACAACGACCACAGCTAAGCATCCTGCCCCCTGTTGCCGAGGAAGAACGTGAACAGCTCGAGAACGACGAGGCCGCGAGCGACCCTCCGAGTTCGGAGGATAGCAGTGAAGAGCAACAGCAAGCACTTGAAGACAGAGAGGAACAAAGCGAAAGCAGCAGCATGAGTGTGACGAGAGACAGAAAGAGAAGAGCTGAGGTTGATGATGACACCCTTTTGGAGGAACTCAGAGCAGGTGAACCACTCACAGCCTCAGCAGGAGCACTTGCAGCACCAGCTGAACCAAGAGCAGAAGCAAGCAAGCACAGTCTTGAGCCTGAGGAACCAAGCTCACCCAGCAAGCTAAGAAAGCAGGTCAACAGAGCAGAGGAAACAGATGGTTACCTCAACATGCCTCACGATGATGAAGTCTACGAAGCAGATGATGAGTTTTTGTATGAGTCGGAAGAAGAAGAGGAGACAGAGAGTGAACCAACGGAAGTTTTTACCAAGGTCCCTGTCGAGTTCTTCGACGAGGAGAAAGGACCACCGAATGTGGATCCAGATTTTCTTCAGAAGTTGGATGATGAAGCTACAGTCAAAGAAATCAAGAGGTTAACAAAGATGGGAGTTATTTCTTTGGTTTCTACGGACCCTCAAGAAGCAACTGAGAACGTACCTCTGGTAGACTCAGAACAAGAACTTCACAAGTGGTTGACAACGAAGTTGGTGAAAGACTGGAGGTTCAGAGAAGCTACAGGTTTTGAAGTTGACGAAGCCACAGCAGGAACAACAAAGCCCAAGCAGATTCAAAGATGCTGGCAGCGACGAGCCAGGCTAGTAGCAAGAGAGTACAAGACAGAAGGAAAAAGAGAAGATATATTTTCTCCTGCAACAAGCCCAGGAATTACGAAACTGGTACCCATGTTGGCTCTCGCCAACAATTGGGCGATCTACAGTGTCGACGTGAAGGACGCGTTTCTACAAGTCCCTCAACGAACGCCTTGTTTGTGTCGAGTACCTGAAGAAGCAGCTCACGTTGTACAAGCAATGCAGGAACAACCAGAACGCAACCCTAGAACTTGGTGTTGGAAGCTAGGAAGAGTCTTACCAGGTCAACGCGACGCATCCAGTCTTTGGTCAGACTTTTGCGATGGTCTTTTGGTGGAAGAGAAGTTTGAGCGTTGCACAGCAGTTCCAGCACTTTATCGTCTTCTACGACAAGGAAAAGTGGTTGCAGTTTGCATTGTACATGTAGACGACTTGCAGTTTGCAGGCAAGAAGGAAGTCATCGAACCGATCCTCAAGAACCTCAAGAAGAAAGTTAACTTACAAGTTGAAGGACCTCTTCTGAACGAAGAAGATTACGAGAAAGGATTTTCTGAAGAGACCGTGAAGTTTCTCAAAAGGAAATACTGAAATACACGTACGAACATCATGAACTACGAGTACATAGCGATAGCAAGTACGTGAAGAAACTCGTGGAGATTCTCAAGCTGGAAAAGAAGAAGGCCAAGAACTCTCCTTGTACACCAGCCAGTCAAGAACCTGACGTATCCCAAGAACTGGACGAGGAACACTCGAGAACTTACAGGAGTTGTGTTGGCATTTTGCTGTACGTGGCACACGACCGTCCGGACATCCAGTTCGCAGTACGCAGCCTAAGTACTGCCGTGACAAAACCGACAGAACGCAAAAGAAAGGAACTGGAGCACTTGGCGCTCTACCTCAAAGGAACGTCAGACTACGCCGTTACGTACCGCAGGAACAGCCCAGGAACGTCAGCTCTACGTCATCGCGCAGAAGAACCACATGAACCACAAGAACCTCAAGAACAACAACGCGAACGTTTACTCGAAGTTTTTAGCGACTCCGACTGGGCCGGAGACAAGCAGACGAGGAAGTCAGTGAGTTGCGCCATGTTCTACCTGGACGGTGCATATTTCTATAGCTACAGCAGAACACAGAAGTCAATAGCATTGTCTTCAGCAGAAGCAGAATACATGGCACTTACAGGAGCAGCAAGCGAAGGAATAGGTTTGCACGCAGCAGTTCGTTTCCTTACAGGAGAACGAGTACTACTCAAAGCATACACGGACAGTTCCGCATGCCGCGGAATCACAAACCGCCAAGGAACAGGAAGAGTCAAGCACTTGCAGATTCGTTTACTTTGGTTACAAGCAGCAATACGAGAAGGCAAGCTTACAGTACATGCAGTTGGTACAAAGGAAAACACAGCAGACCTAGGAACAAAGCCTCTCAGCACGAAAAGAGTGAAGTTTCTCCTGAACATGATCGGCATGTGCAACAGTGAAGGAAGAGTTGGAGAGCAAGAGCGAGAAGAAGAAGAAAAAGCACAAGTGGTGAGAAGACTCGAGAAGATCATGAAGAACAAGAGCAGCATGTTGTTTGCACTTTCGAGTTTGTTTGCAAAGACTGAGGCAGCTTACGTACAACACGTACCTTTCGCCAAGCAGTCCTGGAAGCATGTCGCTTCTGGAAGTCCTGGTGACGCTCGCCATGGTGTGCATGGCGGCATACTTTGTCGTCAACGAGATGAGAAAGCCGCAGAAGCACAAGAAGTCTAAGAAAGAGGAGAGAAGCAGCAGTGAAGAAGAAGAAAGCAGCAGCTCAGAAAGCAGACGAAGAACCGAAGACAAAAGAAGGAGGAAGAAAGCAGAGAGAGAAGTGAGGACTGAAGCTCCTGCCGCTCAGGTGAACTACGACGTGGACTCCTTCGACGAGGCAAAGAAAGAAGTGACAGAGAAGGCAGAGAAGTTGAAGAAAGTTGAGGAAAGCCTGGAGAAGGAAAAGGAGGAGTTCGGAAACCAGAAGGCAGAGTTTGAGGAAACAGTGAAAAGGTTTTTGAAGAAGCAGAAGGAGGTGAAGGAAAAGGAAGACAAAGTTACAGAGAGAGAAGAGAAGTTAGAGAAAGACCAAGAAACCCTCCAAGAGCAAGCCAAGGCCCTAAGCGAGAAGGAGACAGCCCTTGAAGAAGCTGAGGAGAACGTCAAAGCAAAGGAAGCAGAGGTTGAGAAGAAGAACAAAGAGGCAGAGAAAAGAGAGAGAAAAGCTCAGGAAAGAACCGTCGGCTACGACCAAGAGAGAGAAGAGTACGCCAAGAAGTACGTGGACGACGTAAAGAAGGACTTGGAGAGAGAGCTTAAAGTGCTAAAGCAAGAAGAGAAAGTAAGGAACCAAAAGCTCGACGACCTCCAGTACGACTACAAGAGCCTCAAGGACGACTACCAGTACTTCAAAACTTACTCGCAGGAAGTGGACGCACTTCTACTTGCAGCCAAGGACAGGATCGTGAAGTACAAGAAGAAGGCCAAAAGCCTCAAGGAAACCATAGGTGCAGTCTTGTCTGGAAGTGAAGGTGAAGAAGAGACAGACGAAGCGTACAAGACCAAAGCAGAGGAAGAGAAAGAGAAAGCAGAGGCTAAGGCAAAAGAAGAAGAGAAGAAGAAAGGAAAGAAGCCAAAGCAGGTAGAGACAGAAGACCCAGAAGAGAAGCCCTCAAGCAACCAAGGAGACGAGAACACCTTCGACCCGAACGACATAGCCGAGTTCACGCAGCTTGGTTACGTGTGGGAGTTCAACAAGAAGACGCAAGAGTACCGCGCGAAGAGCGAAGACAAGAAAGGAAGCACAAGAATCAAGAACGCTCCGGTGAAAGGCCGCCTCCTTTGGAACAAGGTGACGGAGTGCTACAGAAGGCACAACGTTTGGTTTACAGACGGAAAGGAATTGGATAAATTCCTCGAGACCAAGGAGAACGAGAAGATCGAGGAAGAGGTGCAGCGACGCATCCACGCGAAGGGCAAGTACGACAACCAAGGAATGAAGGGAAAAGGCCCTTCCTGGGACGACGGACAGAACGACAGTTGGTGGTACAACGAGCAGTGGAACAACGAGAACTGGAACACCACCGACGACGGCAGCAACTGGTACGAGAACGCGAACCCACAGAACAAAGGCTACTGGCAGACGCCAGAAGAGTGGGCGCAGCAGAACCAGTGGGAGCAGTGGACACCCAAAGGAAAGAGCAAAGGCAAGAAGTCCAAGAACTGGGTACAGACCCAGTGAAAGGATCCCGAGAAGGGATGATCGAGAAGGTCAAGCAGTGAACGCTTGTACATATGTACATAGCTAGGCAACGTAAGACTTGATGTATATTAGCACAAGAATTCATGTACAAAGTGTGAGCAAATGTATAGACGTAGCAAACTGGGGCAGTAAGCCTAGGTAAGCTACAACCTTCCAAAGTCTCACAAGAAGTTTCACACGAGGCAGGTTAGGAAGGTACAAGGGCCAGAAGAGGCAAGAAGCCGGAGAAGCCAAGAACAAAGAAAAGAAGCCCGAAAGAAGAAAAGCCCGTAGGCTACATAAGGGCAGAAGGAAACCGGGGTACGGGCCTCCCCGCAAAGAGTCCATAGGCTGGACCTAACTAGAACGTAGCTGTACATACAGAGTAGGTTTTTCAGGAAGGCCAATGTACAGACATAGAAGGCCTAAGTAGCAACAGGGCAGGAGTGCAGCTAGGTAAAAGACCAGGAAGAACGGAGACGAAAGTCCCTAGCAAAAGCACTGTACAGAAAGCCCTAGCAGTTTCCAAGAACACCCTAGGAACCCGCAAGAACTTTCTGAGGCGGGGTGTTCGTTTGTAACCTAGTGCACGTAGTCCCAAGTAGAGTGTGTAAAGTAATCACGAGAACACATGAAACATGTGTGTGAACCGCAACACGGAGGCTTAAGCAAGTCAGCCCGCGAAGTGAGAAAAGTGTGTTTGTGAGTAGAGTGGGAAGGAAGGCTTGAGAAGCCTTTAGTTTCAACAAGAACAGGAAGAAGAAGAACAGGAAGAGACCTCAGAGGCCCAAGCACCAGCGCACAGGCACGAACTTGCAGGAGAACTGTCATGTACATTCAACGGTCATGAGTACAACCAGCAGAACAGCCTCAAGGCCCTGAAGGAACTTTGCAAGGAACTTGGAGTTTCAAAGTTTGGTTCTAAGCAGGACATTCTTAGAAGACTCAGCAGATCGATCATGGAAGCAGAAAGGCACATGGAGCTTACCGCAGCTCAGAAGAAGTACAAGGAGTACATTGAAGCAGAACCTCTCAAGGTACCAAAACAGCCAAAGCCAGAAGAAGTTGCAGTGCATAATCTCACACACTTACCTTACGCATCGTGGTGTCCTACATGTGTAGCGTGCAAAGGAAAAGAGTCTCCACATCTTCGTGAGATCCCAGAGAAGGAAAGATCTTCGAGACCAACTTTCTGCATGGATTTCTGTTTCACAGGAACAAGTCATGATGAGGCACCAGCAGCAGTTAGTCTTGTGTGTGTTGATTCTTGGAGTAGGAACATGGTCTGTAACCCTACAGCATCTAAAGGAAAGGATCTTGTAGAGCACCTTTGCGAAGGAGTCACCTACTTGAGCACCCAGCTAGGATATGGAGCCATCAACTTGAAGGCCGACAACGAAGGAACTATGATGAAGCTGAAGCAGGTAATCCAGAAGCAACGAGCAGCCTTAGGTCTAGGAACAATCTTGCAGGACGTAGTCAGTGGCCAGAAGGAAACCAACGGCATGGCAGAGAGAGAGAGCAATTCAAACCATTAGGCGACAAGGAACAACCCTGATTAGGCACCTGGAACACAAAACAGGAACTTATATTGCTCATACCCATCCAGTCTTCAGTTGGGCTTTCAGGCATGCAGCGTGGACCTTGAACAGGTACCATCGCCACACAGGTACAGGAATGACACCGTATGAATGGATGGCAGGACGGCCTTATGAGGGCCAACTTGCCGAATTTGGCGAATCACTTTTGGTTTTGACCAATCGTTCAGGAACACGTGCCAATAGGAAAGGCGACCCCATTTGGTTGAGAGGAGTGTTCTTCACAATAACCTCTTCATTACGTGGCACATGGACGGCATCAAGACGAGCCGTAGCGCAAAACGCTGTGTGGAACATTTCGATATCAAAGGAATAAGCAGCGTAGGAATTCATACTTGGGAAGTGAAGCACACTACCCTCACGACCAGGAACATCCCAAGGAAGAACATCCCAGGACCGCTTGCAGAGGCACCACCTATCATGGATGGAGCCGGAACCCAGGAACAGTCAGCTCAGGAATCGGCACCTTCGGCACCTTCAGGACCGGTTGTCATCCAAGGCGGGGACCCTGCAGGAAAGACAGGACCTACTAGGTCAACGTACTTAGAGAACAAAGCCAAGCAAGCACAAAGCAAAAGGAAAGCAGAAGAAGAACTTGAACAGGAATATCCCGACGAGAACCAAGATGAAGCAGCATCGGACCCAACGTCTTCAAGCAGTAGCAGCAACAAGGAAATGGACGCAGCCTCAGAACCAGAACTTATTCCAGACAGTGCAATGGCCAGTGAACTACTTTCAGCTAGAGGACCTGCACCTCTTAGGAAGCAAGAGTTTGAAGATGTAGGAACAGGTTCCAAGATCCCGAAGATAGATTCTCCCAAGAAAAGGTACCCTCCGTTCAACGTAGGAAGAGTTTACGAAGTTTACGAACACAACGACGAGGAACTACCTGAAGCAGAACCAGGTACAGAAGACATTTTCTGGGAAGATTCATACTCAAACATTGGCGACTCAGATGAGGAACAAGATATCTTCAAGAGCGAGGACTCAGGACCTCCAGAAGTTCCAGAAGCACAGTTGCAGGAACTGGACCGTGAGGCGATGCTCACGGAGATCAACAGACTCACAGAGATGAAGGCATTGGCAAGGAAACCCTTGCAAGAGCTTGAGAGAGAAGAACCGAGAGAGAGAGAAGAAGAAGAAGAAGAAGAAAGAGACCAAGGAACAAAGTGGCTCACAACGAAGTTTGTTTTCGACTGGAGATTCAGGAATGGCAGATGGATGCGTAGAGCTAGGTTAGTGGCTAGAGAGTTTCGAGGTGTAGAGGTCAGGAACGACACTTTCAGCCCAGCTACAAGCGCATCGTTGGTGAGACTTATTCCCATCTTGGGACTACAACAGGAACATGCCCTGTATTCGATCGATGTCAAGGACGCATTCTTACAGGTACCGCAGAGAACTCGTTGCGCATGTCAATTCCCAAAGGAATATGTGGATCTGTTTGGCGACCAAGACCCTAACTGTAGGAACGAAGGTTTGTTACTGCTTAGAGTACTTCCAGGACAGCGAGATGCAGCACTTCTTTGGAGTGACCATTTTGCAGGAACACTTAAGGAGCAGAACTTCGATAGGTGCATAGCATGCCCTACTTTGTTTCGTGACGATAGGAACAGCATACTTGTTGTGCATGTGGACGACATTCAAGCAGCAGGGAAGACCAGACACTTAGAGCCCAAGCTAGGAAAGCTAGGAGAGACCTACGAACTGAAGGTTGAAGGCCCCTTCTTGACAGAGCAGGAACTTGAAGTAGGAGAGTCACATCAAACCATCAGATTCCTCAAAAGGAAATTCAGCTATCACAATCATGAGCTTCACATCACGAGTGACCCGAAGTATCTAGTGAAACTCAAGGAAGAACTGAAGTTGACTAGCAAAGCCTCGAAGCCAACTCCGTGCACCCAAGAGTCTCAGGAAGCCGACAACACCCAAAGCTTGAACCAGGAACAAGCAGCATCGTTCAGGAAATGCGTTGGCATACTCTTGTATGTCAGTCAGGATCGCCCTGACGTGCAGTTTGCCGTAAGAGGTTTAGCCTCCAAGATGTCGGAACCTACGCATGGTTCTTGGAAACACCTAGTCCATCTTGTGCAGTATATGTGTCAAGGAACTTACCAAACTCTTCAAGTCGTTCCTTGGCCATCGACGGAAGCTTCGACCTGCCAGTGTAGGCATGCTTTGTCACCTCCGTCAGGCACTGTCTTCCCAGCCTACCGAAAAACTGGGCTTGAGCAAACTGCAGCCTACCCCGCAGTTGTAGCGCTTCCTTCTGAGTCATGGTTCCCTTGTCCAGGGAACCTTTGATCGCAGCAGTGAGTTCCTTGCGTCGTTTCTCAGTGTTCCTGACCTTCAGAACTCCGGACCCCGTCTGGTCAAGCTCGAAAAGGACGCCAAGGGCCTCGAAGCTAGTGTTCCACTCCGTTGTCTTATCAGCTGACAGCTTCCAACCTAACAGCTTCATAACTTCATCGAAAGCGTGCGAACACGAACTCCTATCTCCTCCAAGAGCGAGCAGAACAAAGTCGTCGAAATAATTCGTGGTCGGGATCCTGGCCCCTTTGACCAAGATAGTCCAAAGAGCCCTCGCCACTCTGAGGAAAAAATACACGGCCTTGGTTGAGCCGAAGGGCACAGCTAGTTGTTGGAACAACTTGGGCTTCTCCTCCGCCGGGTCGTAAACCGAGAGGTAAGAAAAATCTAAGCTGGTATCAGATACCGCCAATTGTCTGTAAGCTCCCTTCAGATCCGCCGTTTTCCCGTACAATGCGTTCAAGTTCTTCTTTCGAGCAGCACTCGAAAGTGTATTTATCAGCATAGCAATTTCGTCGATAAGAGTGCGTGATGGGCTTTTCAGAGACTGTGACCGTATCGTTAATCAAACTCGATGAGTAGTTGTCAATAGGTCGCAGCTTCTCCCCTTGTAGGAGCGGGAAACGGGAGCTGACCAAACATCGTTTCGGCAATGACTCGAAATCATAAGGTCCCGAGAGGTATCCACTCTGCACCTCTTCCATCGTCTTGTCCCACAACAGCTGGTCAATTTCCTTATCACCCGATGAACCAGTCTTCGCCCGGATCTGCTGTTTGATTTCATCAGACATCCCCAAAAGCTGTTCAGTATCCAACCTAGCAGGCTTGAGCTTGGTATCCAGCACCCCAGTGATAGGGATGTCCCCCGTCAGGGTGGCTCCGTCGATGAGTTCCTGAACCACACCCATATCATCATACCCAATGTCTCGCAGCATCTCTTCGAACAACAAGATACGTTTGGGTTGAAGGATCTTCCTTCTGTGATCCGACATGCCAGCTGTCAGCTTGGCTTCCTCTGGTTCCAATTCTTTGGCTCTTCTGGCCCACTTCTCGATGTAATTCTTCCTCTGAGAACGAACCATTCCCGGTTTGTGTACTAGGTCATGAACGAGGTCTCTCAAATCCTTGTTGCACTTGGATAACTTATGGTATGGGTGTCCAGTCTTACCTGCTTTGGCGATAAATTCAATGGGATCCCATGGGATGCCCACTCGCAAAACTGAGGCTCCATTCAAGTTTTGCATTTCCTGCTGAAGTTGCGGGCTCAATTGCCCCCCTGACTGAGTACGCGACAGAAGCTGGGAATCCTGCGGGAGCACCCTAAGCTCCGGCAGCACACGGGCGCCGTGCGGGACCTTGCAGTCTTGCTTAAGGCGCTTCGACCCACCAAACGGATCCTCGACCTGCGGTGACAGAAGGACATAGACCACCAACTTCCACTCAGACACCACTTCCGGCATCGCCCCACGTGGCTGATTCATAGCCGAAACTCGCAACGATTTGTTAGTCAAGGCCGGGCTACGGCACAGCAGCTGTCGCTGAGTCAAACCTGCAATGAAAACCTCAGCTACCGCCGTGGCAAAAGCCGGCGGATAGCCTGTCTGCGCCTCCGAGCGCTGCTGCACCTTATGTCCCACAGGTGCCGCCTCCCTGCGCACAGTGAGGACTTCTGGCATATTAGACAACACGAGGCTGCGTTGTTTGCTATGTGAGTCCCAAAACCGCCAATCCACCTCCACCTGATGCGGAGGGTGCTGTGCTGACGGTAAGCGATTCAAACTCTCCCAAAATGGGGAGGACACCGAACCCTCAAGAATCAGGGGCAGGTTGTTGCTTAAGCAGCCCGCCATCACGGCCAGAATGAAAGCTGTAGTGACAGGTTCCGAGGCATGTTTAGGAATGCATATCATAACACCCGCAATCTTGCGTTTGTCAAGCCATGTTAGGACAGAGTCACAAGCCTCCCGCGTCGACAAGTCCATCTGAAGCACTGGGGCCATAGCCGCCTTCTGCTTGAATCGGTCCACTCCATAGGAAAAATAGCCCTGCTTAATCAAAGCTGAAGCCACACGAGCTTGGCCTGCAAAACACTGCAAAATGGCCCTGATTGGCTCCTGACTCTGAGGGGCTGGAGAATTGTCCTGCGATGCCACGAGAGGTGAGGGGAGCGCCCCCTCGCTCCCTGCGTGCTTCAAGGTAAACGACTCAGACGAAGCACTCGGCATCGTAGGGGGATCCAAAACTGTAGGTTCTACCAAAATCGGAGAATCGTCGACATCCACCATCTTAGAAGCAGGGTCCACTCCCACTCCAAAAGGTGGCGAAGCCGGGGCCGCGACATCAGCTACAGAGATACCACCTGAAACGGGTTCTTCCGAAGATGCCATCTCCACGTCCGACGCCAAAGCGACGGGACAAGGCGGGGGATCCGCTAGTCACAGCTTCTTGGGCTTCAAAGGACACTTACCCACCGGGTGGTCACCTCCGCATTTGAAGATGCAGCAAGTGTGATCGCCCTTCTGGCAGTTTGCATCCGAGCAAGTTCCGAGGTTGAAGCCGTAACAGACCTTGTTGCCTTTATGATTCCATGCAGAGGCTCCCTGGAAGCGAAGTCCCTCAGGTAACCATTCCGGCTTGCCGGCCCCCGAGCCTTTGCCCTTAGGCGACTTGCCCTTAGCTTGCCAGGTGTTCTTGCCTTTCCCTGTCCAATTATCAGAGCCTTTGGAGTTCCAACCGCCCTTACCTTTGCCATTCTTCCCCTTCCAGGGCGCAGCATCGCCGTAAGGGCCAGGACGACCGCCTCGGCCGTTAGCATTCTTGCCCTTACCGTCCAGGTCGCCCATAGGGAGAAGGGCTACAATTAGGTCGTAATCATGAAGAATAGCCCCGATCGCTGCATCAAGTGGGAGAGTGCCTGAGGCGTCTGCCCGGATGTCTTCACCTGCTTCCGACAACTTGGAGAAAGCGAGCTTGTCAGCCCGCAGAATCTGACGAAGAGACACTTTCCTGTAACCAGGCTGAGCGGGTTTGGTCAGATACCTGAACAAAGAGGCGACATAAGCTTCATGCTTCTCCCAACTGATCAAGCGAGCAAATGCATAAGCCACTCCTCTGCGGCGCAGGGCATTAAGGACTTGCAAAGAGCCCTCAATATCACGATCATCCATACCAGCAGCCTCCGTAACCTTCAGCTTACCGCCTTCCAAGGACAGACTGGTGGTCAAGGGCTTGACGTTCTGAACCTCATCCTCACGGCTATGACACTTCTCTGGACCGATGTACTTCAGGCACCGACTCTCCCACTGCTGAACGGCCATGTCGAGTAATGCATGACTCGGCTCAAGCTGTCCAGTGAGCGAAACTCCGGCGAGCTGAGTCCGGAGCTGATCCATGCGAGCATTCCGCTCGGCTACCCCCACCTTTTTAGGGGAAGCGTGTTCAGCCGGTTCTGCCAGATCCTTCAAAGAAGCCACTAGCATGGTCTGAGCTTCCAAGATCAGGCGCCTCAGAGACGCCTTCTCGCCCACTGTGATGCCTACCAACATGGCCTCGCTCCACGTGTCAAACTCAGTCTGAGATAGCACCTGTCCCGGTTGTCCGACACAGAAGGCCAGCTGGGCCAAAGTAGAAACCCCTTTACCTTTCAAGGCATCCACTACTCAACTCGCTTGGCAAGCGAGATTTCATCCGCTCGCTGCACAAAGAAAGGCGCCGAATCTACGGAACTCGTCATGGCTAAGTACCTGGCAACCGAAAAAGCTAGCGAGGACGCAGCTCTCACAATGCACACCGAGCACTATAATAGGGCAACTGTTGGCTTTTCGAGCAGGCTAAGAAATCAAACTGCGCTCCGTGGGAAACACTTGGCACATTGCGGGCGCGCTTGCGCCCTAGCCATAGGAATGCGCCGATAATGATCGCCAAAAGCTCGGCCACACAAAAACATTGCCGACCCCAAAGTCGTGCGATGTAGGACCTGGCTAGTCGGATGAGCCCAGAAGGATTGTTCCTCCGGGGCTTCTTCATCAGAGTCTGAAACGTCAGAAACCACAGCCAAAGCCTCATCTTGGTCGTCCTCCACAGCCGCCTCCAGGGCTTCCGAGTCCTGTGGAAAAGCAGCCGCCTGCAGGATGGACTCCCGAGTCCAACCTGATGAGAAATGACCCGAACGAGTCTGGTCCGGCAGGAACTTACCCGTCGCCACTGCATCCAGTACGACAACGTACTCACGTAGTGCTGCGCTCTGCAACTCACGCCCATAAACTGCATCACTACCAGTCGCTGCATCCGCGTGATGGCCTAGAACTCGCTTGGTCTCGCGAATCATCCCGAATTTGCTACACCAAACAAGTGAGGTAACCTTCAATGAGTGCGAACTGACGGCCTGTTCCGTCGATGGACGTGGCAGTAGATACCTCAGCCACCTGGTAATCTCGCTGCTAGACAACGGGTCTGAAGACCAAGATCCATCCGGCAGAGGTGCCGGCAAGAATGGGATATCCGCCTGATCGTTCGGCAAACCAGCCTCATCCCTAATGTCCAGGAGGAGTTGACCAAAAGGCGTTTTAGCAATACCCTGACCGGGAATCACCAAAGGCAGTATGCGACGTCGTTGAGTGTCCAGCCTAGACGTCTTGTGTTCAAGCGTCCCTAGTTCAATGAAGCCCGAACTCCAGTCATCGTTGTGCACGTCTATCAAGATACGTTTGACACACCGGATGTCCGATGCTCGCGCCCTCGCGTAGAGCATAGCAAGGAAATGTGCCGCTCCACATCTATCAATGACAGAGACATCGGGATCACAACAAATCGCGTGCAACTGAAGAACTTCGGACACCTTGAGGGGTGACGCCGGGCACCACGGGTTTTTAGTCTGTAGCGCCTTCTTCACCACACCATGAATTCGAGGGCTGCTGAAGACCTCTAGTTGAACACGTAGTCCCAAGGTATAATAACTCCACTTGATAGCACGCAGACTACTGTCCAGCGTGGTGGCCGCGGTCTTAGGCATCTTGAGGACACAATGGATGAAAGACCACAAGACTTTCTCCGCAAAAGGCGGAGTATGACTGGCTTTCAAAAGCCACTCGCAAAAAGTACGAACCGGACCCACATGCTTCAAGATGGTATTCGGTGATTTTCCTGCCAAAACTGCCTGAACAGAATCCGGGCCGTCCTCCTCGTCATCCGCCATCAAAGTACACAGGTCAAAGAAACTCGAAAAGGCATGAAGTAAAGTGAGGACCCGGCGGTACGCCTCGTCGCGACGATCCGCGGCCCTAGGCCCTCTTTTTGCCTTGACTGCACGAGTCCATGCCTGACAATGAGATCCACTCGTCACCGAATTTCCGGAATCTGAAGGCTGTGCTGCCGTCTGAGGAACAGGCGACGCAGGGACCACTCCCTGATAAGGCAAGTTCAAGCCCTGAGGGAAAGCCGCCTTCAATGGGTCGAATATGCACAGCATAGCCGGCTGTTCCCAAGGCTGCCGAGGCAGCGACGACCGAGCATGAGTAATGCTTCGCATGAACACTTCATTCTCACTCGCTCTAGGGTCGTGGCCAGACATCGCAAGAAACCCTGGCAGGAACTACGTAACTACGCCCCACCAAACCGGTCAAGACTTGAACCGACAATACGTGAACAACAAGTTACCAACAAGGGAGCTACTGTCGCTGGGAATCTCCCCTCGCAGCATACACGAAACGTAGCAAACACCACTCGGGTTTGACCCCCTGAGGCGGGACAAATGGCACAACTTTTCATGTCGCGATTCCCGACGGTCTGCCACTCCCTCGTGGTTCATAAGGATAGTGTCCACCACCTCTGGTGTGAGCAATGCCAGCAAAAACCAAACTAGCAAGCTATAGATCTCCAAAAGATGACTCAGCACAACATCGGTAGTAGCTTACAATAACAACAATGCTCACATCTGCAGGGATAACGCCGCTTAGCACGGCCACCCTACTGCGATTCCTCTCATAATCGCGTGTTTTGGGGAGATCAAAAAGTGATCCCCCGACCTGACCGATCCAGCGTCCCGGCAACAGATCTGCATCATGTCATTCCCCCCCTCCACAGAGGGGGTTGCTCCGTGGCAACTCGCACTCTACGAGGACAATCGCACCATTCAGGGCTTTAGCCCGACTCGCGCATTTTGTCGCTGCACTTTCCAGTGCATCTCGCGACAGTCCGACCAATGAACCTCGTGCCGAGAAGCCGAAGCAGGGAGTTCCCTGATCGCGATAATCGTTCACTGCGATCTCCCCTATCTCTGCCACGCCGACTAAAGATGGGAAAGAGGTACCATGAGCCATGATAGCCGAATGTGCCGAGTTCGGATTGCGGATATAGCTTGGCCCGCGCAATTCGCAGGATAAGATCAAAATCCGTTGCCCAGGCACTCGAAAAATGTGAGCATCGGGTCCGACGACGCCCGCCACAGGATTGTCCCCCTCAAGGGGGCGGCCGTAAGCCCGAAAGGCAGCAAGGACCGTGACCACTCGGGAAATCACAGAGGTCGGTATCGGACCTTCAAGTCCTTCCAAGAACTCCTTGTAGGCATGCGTGTCAGGAAACTTCTCGGCGATGGTCTTCCAAGGCATCTTCCACCACCACTGCAGTTTCCCCTGCTCTGCCAGTTCCCGAGCTGACAATGGGCGAGTGGGGTCTGCGCGCGCTTCATCCTGCGCCGACTTCCACAGAGCTGCGAGGTACGACTCTTCGTCGTCCGCCTCGTCCTTATCAGCCTCTTTGGCAGCCCGACGGGCGTCGGCCGCGGCCACTTCAGATGGAGTGGCCTCCGCAATGTTGTGATGGTCTGGATCCGTCCAAGAGGACTGATGGCCCGACCCTCGAGGCTCATTCGACCCCTGACTGGACCGATGCCACTGGTTCCAGCGCTTGCTCCATTGGCCCTGCTGCTTCTGCTGGCCTCCTCCGCGCCAGGGCTGGCGATTCCAAGTAGTCTGCTGCTGAGGCACATGCACAGCAGGGGCAATCGGGGCAGGTGTCGAGGGAGGCGGCAAAGGTGGCTGCACCGGCGCCACTGGTACTTGCCTCCATTCATATCCCGGCGCTGCAGCCGGCAGCTGAGGCACCGGCGGGGGAAAAGGCGCAGCAGCTCGCGCTCCCCCCGATCTTGATTCCCGGTCGCGTCTGCGATCACGGTTTCTGCTCCTCGAGCGCTCAGAGCTACTCGATGGAGAGCGCCGACGGCGCCGACGCCTCTCACCACCGAAAGGGGGCATCATCGGCCCCATCGGTCCCATTTGCCAGGGAAACATCCCTGCGTCACACACTCAGCACGTAGCTGAAACCGGGCTCCAGCCCTCCGAGACTCTGTCAAGCGCTTCGGCGCCTTGCCAAACACCCAGCACCAGGCTCCTGCCTTGCTTGCTGCTCTGAATCTTTTTTTTTGGGCCGATATCAAACGGCAACCGAATAGCTCATGCAATGAATGCTTCTGCAAACTGTCAGTACGCAACCTCTGGCGCACACGCTCACCAAACACGCGCTCTTGCGCCGGTTTTCTCTTCAAGACCGAGTCTCTGTCCCAACGCTCAGCCGTGAGGACCTAAGCATCACAGCAAAGAAGTGCAAAATCACTCAAACCAACACATCGCTCCATCGACAGAGCCCTTTCTGGCTCCACAGCACTGCAAGATAAGGCTCCGAGCACAAGAATCCTAAGGATGAAAAGTACACTGATACCGGCAGCGAGACCGGCAAAAATCGGAAAATCACTCCTCAACCAGGCGGTCTCCGATCCGCCCGAGCAGCACATTCGTGAAGATACGCAAAATGACAGCTGCATCTAAGCTGGGCTCTCACCAACATTTTGGCTGCTGCCCTAGGGTTGCCACGGCTGATCCTGGCCTGGTGCATAACCGCCGCCGTGTGAGCCTCCACCGTGTATGTGCCTGCAGATTGCAGGTCAATGTCGCGGGAAACCTGAGCAGAAGTAGTAGCAGCAGCAAAAGACGGAGTGAGCTCCCCAGATGAAGAAGCTCCTGAAATCGTCGGCTTCCGCGAATCCGACTCTCGCGAAACATCAGCCTTGGCCTCGATGGCTGAGCTATCCGAGCCCGATGCAGGGCTCTTCTGTCTCGCCTTGCTGCGCTTATGGGAAACCTTCTTTTTCTTCTTCATCTTCTTCTTCTTAACCTTCTTCCCAGATTTAGGAGGAGGCTCCGGACTCAACGGCTCAAAAGCCGAGCTCCACGAAGACCAAGACCTGTCGTCCTCATCAGCCGGCCCTGTAACAACCGACATTGCAAACCAGTCTGAGAAGCAGACGGCTACACGAGTGCACGACAACACGGTGTAGAAAGCAATCCTCAACTCGGCACCACGTATAATCAGCAAGTTCCTGCAGCAAAACATACACTCAACTCAGGCTTTTATGCGGTGCGAACGAATCTCACAGGTGATAACGTATCGGCCACTAGCACTGGAGCTGAAAAACTCAGGTGCCTGCCATCCTGGACCAATTGAAAAGAGCTCAACTTAGGGAAGTGACCAACAAGCTCGAAAAGACGTTGTGACACTAAGTACTTCGCCTGATCGATAATATCTCTGCAACTCAGCTGAAGATCGAGCATGATGGTCTTATAGCTGGTTAGGCGGTCAGTAACGACCACCTGCATCCTGAAGATATATCTCGGAGGCGTATCCCAGGGCAAGTTTGCCTCGCCCGCCTTTCTCTTCCTCTGATCAAGAAACACGCCATGCAAAGTCTCACTACGGGAGCTGAGGTTCCAGCAATCCTCGAGGAACATGCTCCGGATCAGAATTGCGGCCAGCCCGAAACTTCCAATGAAGAAAGCAAGAAACGAGCATGCGACACGCGATCGAAAAGGCGGTCAGCAAGCATGAGCTGCATTCTATGCAGCCGACTGATCTGGATCTGTAACCCACGCATGTGGTGTAACACAAAGCTCTCAGTGGATGTAAACGAATCCGAGGGTGTCGGCGCCTCTGCCTCTCCGCCGGTCACTTCAGGTGATTGCATACTCCTGAATCACAGGCCAGTGCTTCGATCACACACCGAAAAAGCAACAAAGCTCCAGCTAAGTAGGCAACCGCGAGAGCACTCTGCAAGTTGAGCAGGATACTGTAAGCTCAAAGCTCAAGACGCACTCAAGCAGAAGATTCACTTCATCAAGACAAGACCTCCCAGCGAGAGACTGAGGCACAAGCATCCGGCCCGCCCCCTATTTCAAATAAAACTCTCGCCCGATTCAGGGCTTCCTGCCCCTTCGAGAGGTCAAGCTGCAACGGACGAATGTATTCTTCAACTTGTTTACAGCATGTATAAATGAGGGTTCATAAAAAGGCAGTGTGAAAGAAAAGCCCTAAAACAACAAATCAAAATTGGACTCAGTTCTCTGAGCCATTTTGTCATGTTGTTTTTCTTCGAACGATAAAGCCATATCTTCTGCAAGTGTTCAAAGAATGTAACTTGCTCACGCTTGGGACATTTAGAAGGTGTAAGCCAGTAAATCACTGCATTCTCCATCTGATGACGATTGCAAGCATCAATCAACTGATAAGACGGGTCAAGCTCCCCGTCCATGTCTATGCCTCCCAGCCTGGACTGCTGGGATTCCTTACGCGCCCGCTTCTCTGGCAGCGGAAGCTTTCTCATCGGTGCACCATCTGATGAATCATGCGACACCATGTCCCTGTAAGTCTGAATCACCAAAGTGGACGCCTCAAAGTGAAGCTGCCTGATACTGGACAACTCACCTACAGTCGGCTCGCCAGTAGTCTAAAGGCATCCTCGGTCGGTGGGCTTTGAGGGGTTCCAAGAGCGAAGGCAAGCGAGCGAAAAGATTTGACGCCTTGAGTCGATAGCCCCGCAGTGAGGGAGCCATCACCACGAACCTCTAGGCACCTCTTTTCGAAGGCCGCTTCACTCTCGATGATAGTGGACATCGAAGAGCAACCCTGGTTACCAAGGACGCAAGATCACTGCACGCCCTAACTCAAGCCACCACTTCAACGCTCGAGCCTCAACATGTTCACAACGACCAGACATGTGACTGTTTCGCACTAACATGTACTGCATGCACAGGCACTCTCAGACATGTAAAACAACATGACAGCAAGGGCAACTCTTCAATCTTTCACCTCACTTCCTCGTGTCGGTGTCAGCAAACCTAGCGCACAATCTGCACCGCAAGCAGGCCTGAGAAGGCCTGTCATTGAGCCTTGCATGCAAGGCCCCAATGCTCCTGCCACACACGAACACCTTGGAATAATGATCATGGGCCAAGTGCAAAACTTTGGACTTTGTATGCTCATAGTAGCACATGCCGTCAGGAGGATCAGGAACGACCCAGCGCACGAAAGACCTGTGAAGTTCGGCACCATCCTGACTCTCTGAATCCGAACTACTGCTGGAGCCTGTGGTTACTGCATCCGACGGTGGTTCCTCAGCGGTGTCGGCGAATGTGTTAAAGAACGGGCTTCACTAAGGGTTCCTACCTTCACAGACTGTCGGACACTTTTGCTTTCCTGGGCACGTGTGTCCGGGGTCTCGAGCCTGTACGTCGCGGTCCGTGTACCGGCTGTTCCTGTACATTAACTACTCTGCACAAGCGGTGTTACTGTTCCTGGCAAGATGTTTAACACCCCGCCTTCGGAGTTAGCGAAAGTTCCTCGACTGAGGTGACTCCGACTTTTCCTTGACATACAGTAAACACGCTGCAGTTCCTTTCACTACAAAACAAACGCTGTTCCTCTTCGCAAACGTTTCCGTTCACTCGCAATCCTCTCCAAGGTTGCTTGACTGTACAAGACTGTTCCTGAACTTACTTAGATCACCACAGAAACAAAAAGGGCTGTGCCACGGTTCCTGTGTGTCCTGCTTCACTGCTCTTTCCTCGGCTCTCTGGCCTCAGTACTGCTCGCTGTTCCTTTGCTTCACTGGAAGTTCACTTCTTTGCTTCCTTCTTCTTCTTCGCTGTCGTGGGTGACTTCCTTCTGTTCCTTTAGCCGCTCCTTGAGCCACTCCTCACGCTGCCGTGCCTGTGCCTTGCACTTCTCTTTTCCTTGTCTTTTGATCCTGCTCGCCAACCAGTTTCCTTTGATCCTGAATACCAGTACCACTGGGTCCTTTCTTCGTTCCACTTCCACTGGTAGTTCCTGCCTTGGAAACCGTAGACTGCAAACCAGTTTCCTTCAAACTCTCCTTTTCCTTTTCCTTTCAAGTACGACGCTTCGTTCACTGGTCCTTTGGCGGAAAGTTCTGGGTCTTCCTTTTCCTGCTTTCCTGGCTTGTGCTTTGTCACGCTTGGTGGCTCCTGTCCTTCTTCCTTTCCTTTTCCTTTTCCTTCTGGCTTTTCCTGCTCCTTTGTTGGTGTTGTGTCTGGCTCTGTGGGTGCCTGCGACCCGGCTGCCGATCCTCTGCTCTCAAGCTCTTGTGTAAGGCTTGCAATCCTTTCCTTATCCTCCTTACGTTCCTTCAACATCTCCTCCATCATCTCTTCCAGCTTCTTCATCCTGTCTTCTTCACGTCTCGGTTCCACTTCTCCTGATCCTGACGTTGTTCCTGCTGCTGCTGCCTTCTTTTCTGCTTCCTTCCGGGCAATGTATGCCGATGCCTCTTTCTTGTCTTCCTCTCTCTTCTTCCTTGCTTCCTTCTCCTTTCTCTTCTTTTCCTGTTCCTTTCTTTCCTTCTCCTCTTTGGCTGCTGCGGCTGCTTCCGCTTCTTTCTCCTTCTCTGCTTTGGCTGCTGCTGCGGCTGTTTCCTCCTTTTCTCTTTCCTCTCTTTCTGCTTTGGCTTTGGCTGCTGCTTCTACCTCTCGCCTTCTCTCGGCGGCTGCGGCTGCTTCCTGCCTTGCTGCTTCCTTGTCTCTCTTCTCCTGCTCTTCTGCTGCTTCTTCCATGATCCTCCTTGCTTTGGCAATCTGCTCCTCTGTTGCCTTCTTCTTCTCTTCTGCTGCCGCTTTTGCCTCTTGCTGTTCCTTTGAGATCCTGTCTTGTTCTTCCCAGTACTTGCGATCATCATCATCTCGAGGTCGAAATCCTGTGCTTTCTGCTCGCTGCTTTGGCTTTCCTCTTCCTTTGCCTGCTTTTGCGCCTTTCTCCTTTCCTTTTGTTCCTTTCTCGCGCTTGTACGTGTAGTCCTTGTCCACGTATTGCTTTTCTCCTGTGACTCTGTGCTCCCTGTAGATGCTGCCGTTCTCGGAGTATTCCTTCCACTCGCTGCTGTAGTCGTAGGGGTACGGAAAACGCTTTGTCTCCTTCTCTTTCTCCTCAAGTCTTTCCTTGCTCTTGGCGTTGATCTCCTTGATCTTTTGTCTCCTTGCTTCTTCCTTTGCTTCTTCGTCCTCTTCTTCTGCTGCTGCTGCTTCTCCTGGTGCCTCTGTTTCCTTCGCTCCTTCGGGGTACTCCCCGGGATCTTCTCCTCCAACGTAGCTGTCCACGTAGGCCTCGTTCTCATTCTCGCCGAAGTAGTCGTAGTCCTCGTCGCGTTCCTGAAGTCCTTCAAAGTAACCTTTGTCCGACCAATTCCTTATGTCGTCTTCTCCTCTGCGTTCCTGGGAGGTAGGTGACGTAGCTCTCGACGGTGCTGTACCTGGTCCATGTCCTTCACGACGTAGTTCTCCTTCTGCTTCTCTGTCCTTGGCTTCTCTTTTCCTTTGCTCTTCTTCATCCTCTTCTTCCTGCTCGTAGAAGTCGTTCACAAGCGTCTGTACCTGGTCCTTCAAACTGTCGCACGTCTCAAAGACGTAGGCCATGCGTTCCTTGGCCTCTGTGCGATCTCTGTCGTTCTGCTCGGCCATCTCCTGGACCTGAAACTTGACGTCCTGAATTTGTCCTGTCAGGGACTTCACGCAACTAGCCACGTGTTCCTGGGATCGACGCAATCGCGTCGACTCTTCTGTGTTCTTCCTGATCGACTCTGCGATCTCGTTCCTTTCTGCGCTGGCTTTCCTGAGTTCTGTGGCGGCTTCCTTTAACGCTTCCAGTTCCTTGAGAACTTCACTGTTGCTTCTTGCAGAACTGGCGCTAGCTTCCATGGCTGAGGTTCCTTGACCTTCTGCTACTGGCTTGACTATTCCTTGTACGCCTGAGCGTTCCGCGAGTGTTTCGCAGAATTCCTTGAGCTGTGAAAGCATCTCAAAACATGAGGTTTCATGCGCTGTTCCTGCAGACGTTCCTAACTCACATGCGCTCGTGTCACTGCATATGCCGTCCTGTGCACATGCACTTGCAAAACAGAAAACATGTTTCTGAAACTCTGGCTGAAACTCTTCCTGAAGAAAACAACTCTCAAAACTGTGTTGCTTGCAACTCTGAATCTGAAGACTGTCTGAAATTCCTGAAATACCTGCAAACAACAAAGCTGCAAACGACAAAGTTCCTGGGCTCTTGATCATCCTTACAACTGCTTTGGCTTGTGTTTGGGCCTTGTGTTCCTTGAGCTCTTCTCGACCTACTGGTTCGTTCTCTCCGGTTTGAAAACCTAACCAATGCAACAGCAATCTAATGCGCTTCGCTGAAAGGGGCTTGGTTCCTATGTCGGCTGTGTTTTCCTTGGTTCCTACAGGGTGCACGCTGATTGTTCCTTGCTTGTGGAGGTCCTGTAGAAAAAGGGTCCTGATCTGAAGGTGCTTCACTCTTCCTACACCTTGCCTTGTAATGATGCCTCTAGCCTCCAGCTGCTGAAGAGTCCATGTACAAGTGTACCTTGCAGATTTTCCTTGTCAAGAATTCTACTGCTTCCTTCAACAATATAGAATCCGATGCCGCGCTAGCTCCTGCGTAG